GAGGCATCACTTCGTAATCACCAAGATGGTTGTAATAAAAGCTCGCTGGTGAGGATGTAGAGACATCGGAAGCCCTCATAAAGGCCTGATGGAAACGCAAAATGGTGCCGTTGCTTTGGAAAACAGTTCAGCGCAAAGGCTAAACATAGTTACCATATGGCCCAGCAATTCCACTCTTAGGTATATACACAAGAGAAATGAAAACATACTATGTCCATGCAAACTTGTAAAGAAATGTTTGTAACAGCATTATCCATGATAGCCAAAAATGAAAACAATCCAAACGTCAGTCAACTAATAAATGCATAAACAAAAGGTGGTGTATTCATACAATGGAATATTTGACAATAAGAAAATACATGAATTACTAATACCGGCTACAAGATGGATGGACCTGGAAAGCATTGTGCGAAGTGAAAGAAGCCAGACAGAAAAGGCCACATAGATGATTTCATTTACATAAAATGTCCAGATTAGTCAAATCTGTATGTAGAGAAACTAGATTAGAGGTTACTTAGAGCTGGAGATGAGTGGAAGTGACTACTGATGAGTTGGGGGTTCCTTTTTGGGGTGATGAAAATATTGTACAGTTGATTGTGGTAATGGTGGACAATTCTGAATATCTTAAAAAAAATCACTGAGTTATATACTTTGAATATACATTGTATGAGATGTGAATTAGATATCAAGTTGTTATAAAAGAGATTCGATTACAAATAAAACATTTGTTGACTCCTTGGGAAAAACATTATATATAACTAATAAAAATTTTATAATTAGTTATACATATAAACTAAATACCTGTTTGACTTTCACTGACTGTGTTCATATCCTGGCATCTAAAACTAATTCCACCCTTGAAATAGCAGAGATTAGATGTGGAGTATATGAAAGTCGAGAAAGCATCTATGCTATTTGAAAGGATCAACGTTGATTTAAGACCTGGTCCTACCTATCACAAATATGTACTATATGGAGAGCAATAATCTGTTAATGAGTAAAGACATTCTGTTATGGAGGTTTTTACCTCAGCATTGAGTTTAACATAATGAATTTGGAAATAGAACTTGATTCCACCCCCAACCTTGAAGAGTGCCCTGATGGAATGGGAACCAGGGAACTAGCACCTTGCTGGGAGTGGGAACTTGTTGAGATCTCGATATAATTAACTGCTTTGGGTCTTCTGATAACAATGATAAAGGGGATATGATCGCAAGGCTGGTTTAATGTCAGCGCTAGAAAAGGAAATGTCAATAAGCTCCAGTAAAGACATTGGCTTTCAGTAACAAACTTTCCAACAGAAATTTCGATAATAAAGATGGTGGTGGTAGGATCTGGGGATGAATGGATAGCTTATAGTTAATAAGCATATGACTCTATGGTCTATTTGCATATTAGGGTTTTATATATATAGGCTTTGAAGGCTAAGGGGGGTCAGAGCTGCTATTTTCTGCCTTTGTAGTGTGAATGCAGCCATTGATGGCACCTAAATGAGTGGACATGATTGGTACCATTAAAACTTTATGAAAACAGGTCATGGGCCGACTTGGCCCTTGAGCCATAGTTTGTGAACCCCTGGTCTAACCATGTTGGTAGGCTCAATGTCCACATCTTCCAGATCTTTCTACCTTCTTGGTCTCTTTCAGATTCTATTTTCTATTGTCCATTTTTTCTTGTCCTAGACCCTTGAGATAGTAGACCCTGGGCCTCTGAGAAGCACTGTGATTAGTTGTCCGATATGCTAGTTGTTTCTTTCTACATGAAATGAGGATAACAGACACTCACAGGATGGTTATAAAGGTTAATGAGAGAATAAAAGCCTGTTACCTAGATGTTCCAAAAGACTAGCATTCCCTCTTTAGCAATAACATTTTTGCCTGAAGTTTATGTTAAAGTTAATGAGATTTTAGCTTTGAGGTGTGTTTTTTTTTCAATCTTTTGGATAATTTTGGAGGACTCCTCCAACATCCATGCTGCTTAAATGAACTATAGATGTATCTGCCCCACAAGAATCTTAAAGTGGTCATAGAGTAGAAAGGACCAAAATAATAATTTGGCCAGGCTTCTGATGTTGCAGAAGAGAAAATGTGTCTTACAAAGTTAAATGACTTGAAATCTCTGCTATTTATAGCACATACTAGGGGCCCAGTGCACGAATTCATGCACCTTGGAAGAAACTGTGGGCCGCAAGGCTACAGTGGGCTCAGGGTCGGGTCTCGGCCCCTCCTCTGCACGTTCACCCAGCCCCTCCCACCACAGCCCCCAGTCCCCTCCCTGCTGGCAGCCCCGCTTCCACCGCTGCCACTCACACCTGCTGATGGCGCCAAGCGATCAGGACCGAAGCCGGTGCCAGCAGCGGGTGTGAGCAGCAGCTCTGGTGCCGGCAGCAGGTGTGAGTGGGGCTGTCACCGGCAGCGGGTGCGAGAGGCAGCTGCTGGCCCCGATCGTCCCTCAGGAGCAGGGGGAGATGGAGAAGCCTCTCGCACCCTCCCATGGTGTGCTGTCAGCAGGTGCCAGAGGCGGCTGCCGGCCCCAGCAGTGGGTGTGAGTGGGACTGGCACCAGCATCAGCTGTGAGCGCCGGGCGGGACCGTGGCGCATGCGGGAACAAAGAATTTCCAGTAACCACCAGACGCTCGCCCAGATGACAGCACCTGGCGCCCCTGCTCACCTGCTTCACCATCCTGCTGCAGCCGATGCCTGCCATCTTCCACACACACCCCTTGGTGGTCAGCGCACATAGCAACCGGTTGTTCCGTCGTTTGGTCTATTTGCATATTAGGGATATATATATATATTTCTATGTGTTCCAGCTTGCTTTCTGGGGATTTTTCATTTTCTTTCTGAGCATCCTTTTTACTGATGGTATTCATGGTTATTCGTGGCATTTGCTGGTCTCCTTTGTCCAGGCATGTATGGGTGTCTATATTAATGGCCCTTTCTAGCAGCTTTTGCTGAAGAGGTCTTTCTACTATTTTAAGTAGATATTGCTGAATCCCAAGATGTTTACCTCTGTTATCTCCCAGAGCTTACTGCCACAGCTTCTGTAAGACAGTACAGCCACACTGCTTGGGGGTGGGGTTTGTTTTGCCCTCACCATAATGGCAACCCCAGGCCTTCGTGGGGACCCTCCCCAAGAACCTGAACTGGGGATCAATCACAGAGGGAAGCAGCACTTATACTGCAATAACTTTTGGTTTACAGGTAATGTGCTCCTTTACTTGACACCAAGGGCAACGGGAGACGAGTTTTGGGAGTCCAAGGGGCAGCAGGGCTCTGTAGTTCCATTTTTTTGTCTGAAATTCCAACGCCCAACAGCAGACAGCCATGCACAGAACCCCGTGCCCTGTCAGTCATCTGCTGGCTCACTGTTCACTCTCCTTGCCCCGCTGGACTGCCCTCTGCTACTTTCTGCTCCTTCATGCCTAAGGCAGTGCCTGCCATCTCCAGCTTCCTCCCCTCATCTATTTATTCCCGGTTGTCCATCTTTAGATGCTTCAATTGGCGGGTCTCTTGAGCATGCCTCTGTATTGAGTAGGGAATTCTTTGTTGAATTAGAGTTGGTTAACTTGCTGAAATTTCAGTGGGAGAAGCCAAGGGGATCTCTCAGGCTGCCATTCCTCTGACATCACTCTTGTTTTTCTTTTAGGAAATGATAACCTTAGAAAAACTTGTTCATTATAATTTAACAACAAGGATGTCTAGATTCTTTAAACTGGTGTAGTGTGTTTCATTTACATGCCTTAACATTTAATACCACCTACTCACATGCCAATATTGTGCCAATGAGGTTACCTCTAATGTACCAGAATATTTTGCAATTAGCAAGTGAGTGAATAATATTAAATCATTTTAAATTTTAAAACAAAAGCTTTTCTTTATTTTGACAAATGTGTAGATTTTCCTTCCCACTTTTTCTAAAAAGTTAATTTCAATTCAATAAATGCTTAGTATGTCTGATTCTGTGTGCTATTTGTGAGTGGGATTTAATTCTAAGAAAATATTTTAAAATGTTTCTGCTTTTAAAGCAGGGGTGGGCAAACTTTTTGACTCGAGGGCCACAATGGGTTCTTAAACTGGACCGGAGGGCCGGAACAAAAGCATGGATGGAGTGTTTGTGTGAACTAATATAAATTCAAAGTAAACATCATTACATAAAAGGGTACGGTCTTTTTTTTTTTTAGTTTTATTCATTTCAAACGGGCCGTAGTTTGCCCACGGCTGTTTTAAAGAGATCTTATTTCCCATGTTTTGTGTATTAGATAACTGGTATGAGTCCTTTTAAGTGCTAACAAATTAGGGGGATTCAGATCAGAAATATGAAAATTAAGTAAGATCCTTATGGTGTGATACTAAGTAGTATATACATGTATTAAATGTTTGTACTCATTTTATATGAAGAAGCAGTTGCCATAAATTCTCAGGGAGTATAATACTGGAAGGATGGAATTTATGGTTCTGGTTTATTTAACTAAATAGCTGGATTATGTTCATTCTTAATACTTTCATGAGGGCACAGTTTCCAGTATCAAAGCAGGCTGGTTACCCATGATTCCCTGTTTTGTTGCTCTTGGGCTCCCCACAGCTGGTGGGTCCTGCTGATTTACCTTCACCTAAGTTTCCAAACCAGCGTAGCTTGTCCCTGACTGGCAAAGCTAACTCTCAGTTTGTTTTTCAACTAAAATTTCTCAACATTTCTTGGTATGTGGTGCCCTTAGCTTCCTGGTAACATTTTCCTAGCTCCACTAAGCCAAAAGACATACACAATGGTTCCCTTTATTACGTAATTAGGTCCACATAATTTCAGGTTAGTAGTTGTGCAGTGTCAGTACATGTTACTGTGTTGTCCTCAAACATGGGAAATTCTGTGAAGTCCCTGTGTGCCTCAGTGCAGTTTGGAATCACAGATCCACCTTTTTCATTTCCATCATCTCAGCAGGACCCTGCCCACCATTGGCAGTCACACAGGCTCTGGCACAACACTCCACAGGCAAATGCAAGTTGATGGCAATACTTATATTTATTTTTGCAATCCCTTCAATAAACCATTTGAACAATGTTGGGTAAGGTGTTATTTTCATAAAAACATATTCTTTCAAAACAAATGTATTTCTATTTTCCATAAAAGTTAAAATTACATGCTAAAACAGAGTTAACCACTGACATAACATGGAACAGTATCAGGAGACTCATAAAGCAAGACCAGACAGGAAACTATATCATTAAACTAAGCAATGACACAGAACTAGAAAACCGACTCAGTATTAAAATATAAAAATCTACGATTATAAATATAAATTTGGTCCATGGAGACACTAGAGCAGTATTTACAGTAAGTAGAAGATTATTTTGTACTTTAGGTGAATACTGCAGTTGTAAAATGTTGAATATCATAAGGAGCAGAGCATTTTATTTACAGTCTACTGTATTAAAAGTTATATTTCCAGCAAACCTGTTGCTTGCTACAAATACAGCTAAAAATTTGACACTAAACCAACATGTTTTCTGTAGTTTGGAATTCCTAATATCTATAAATTGAAAATTTCTGTTAAAATCAATACAAAAAACACCCTAATTCCATTCTTAGAAATACTGTAAAATTCAATCATTTTAGTTTAAGCACAATAAGTGAATTACAAGAAGTTCTGCAAAAAGGCACACATTGTTAATAATATAAATTTGGCAGCAGAATCCTATGTCATGAAAGTTACTGTCAGGTGATGGGAAAGAAAACAGGGAACAGAAAAATGGATTTTCCAGTCTACTTTGAGATAGGGAGTTTCGTCACCCCTCTCTGTGCTAAACTAAAGACTCTAAGCTCTCGGCTATATTTCCATCGGGCAAGGCTGCGCCATTACTGTCCAAAGAGGTGGATGGATTCTCTTCCTGCCTCGTGCTCACAAGGCTGAGGACTGCTTTGTAGAGAAACTGATACTGCTCCTAGGAAACAGAGAATGGGAGTTACAAACAGAAGCTCAGTGAAGACATCCATCTGTAAACGGAAGGAATACTTTTAGTGACACCTGGGCACTGTCCACGGAAGAGCTCTGTGTTAGGGGCTCTGTGATACTCAGCAACGGCACACAAGCTATATGAATGTCTTCTTCTGATGACATTTAAAATAGCTTTTTAATTGCCCTAGCCAGTTTAACTCAGTGGATAGAGCATCGGGCTTCGGACCGAAGAGCCCCAGGTTCAATTCCGGTCAAGGGCATGTACTTCGATTGCAGGCCCCTCCCAGGTCTGGGCCTTGGTTGGGCATGGGCAGGAGGCAACCAATTGATGTGTTTCTCTCACATCGATGTTTCTCTCTCTTTCTCTCTCTCTTCCACTCTCTCTAAAAAATCAATGGAAAAATATCCTCTGGTGAGGATAAAAAAAAACACAACTTTTTAATTAGCTAATATTCATTGTCCTAGAACCGTAGTCGGCAAACTACGGCTCGCGAGCCACATGCGGCTCTTTGGCCCCTTGAGTGTGGCTCTTCCTAAGCCTTAGGAGTACCCTAACTAAGTTAATAACAATGTATCTACCTATATAGTTTAAGTTTAAAAAATTTGGCTCTCAAAAGAAATTTCAATTGTTGTACTGTTGATATTTGGCTCTGTTGACTAATGAGTTTGCCGACCACTGTCCTAGAAAATTGGTCCACACACATTGGCTTATGGCAAGCACTCCGTCCTTATTCATTTACTTCATGGAGTCATTGAGAAGGCGATGTGACAGGGTTCTGTCAGTGACTGGTCAACTTGTGTGTAGCTCTCTGACATGGGGCACCTGTAACCCACTCCCAAATAAGGTGCTCATTCTCCGTTCTCTAGTTGTTATGGAAACCATTGGATTTGTTTATTAAGGGGGAGGACTGCACGTCAGTCAGCTGAGACACCCATGCAGAATGCAGGCCTTTCCCAAGATCCACTTATCCAGTATTCTTCACACCCTCCCCACCTGTCCGCACCGATCCCTGCTTTACCAAAGGTGAGCGAGCGTGTGCCCTGCTGAGGTTTCAGAGTAGAGACACAGTAGAATAGGTAGCTTTCCTCTTACAGATGCTGGTGTGGTTGTGGGGGGTAGGGGAAGGCAGCTGCAGAGAAAGTGAGTTGGGGACTAACATCATAGCAAACCATCCTTAGGACCACATGGGAACTGGTGCCCCATTGAATGCATCCTCAAAATGGGTGAAAGGACACCCTCTGGAAAGCAATTCCCTACAGGACAAGCTTGATACAACCCAACGGATCTGAATGAGATGTTTAATAGGGGCTCCTCTGAGGTGCAGGTATGCAGGGGTTACCTTGCCTTTGGCCAGTGGGTTTGAGCTGTAGCTCAAAAAATGGACCTTTTCTAAGTCCCTTATACATGCACAGACCACATAAGCTTCTCCCATTGGGCCACTTGAACTAAGTTCCCTATCGTCTTTTCAGCCCATATTTCTACAATAAAAACTTCCAAATTATTTCAGTGTCGAAACCAACTTCTCCAGATGTGCTGTATCTCTGTTTTGATCATCTGAGTCTCTTTTTCCAAGAATTAGCTGTTGTTAATTTCAGAAATTAAATTTCACTTGAAGGAAAAGTAAAAACTTCAAAAGTTTAAGACTTTTGGGTTTGTCTTCTGACGGTTCTCTGAGCTAGGCAGAACTTGAACTCTGGAAACGTAGCTATTTATTTTTGTTGGATAAATCAGGGTGTTGGTGCTTCTACTGGGGATATTTTGCAGAATTACAATAAACCTTGTAAAAAAAAAAGCACACATGTGATTTAAAATTTTTAGCCATAAATTTTCTAGAAGAAAAAATGTAAATGTTTCTTATTTATAGTTCCAGTTATATGGATTGGAGACAGAATAACTTATAATTCAGGCTGAAAACTACATCTAATGCTGTCAGTCAATGTAGCCTTTTTGATGTAGGATAAAATGATGTTGGCAGCCTCTAGGAAGTAAGTAGTAGCAGTGAGAAGATTGCTTCATTGCTTTGTTACTTACGATGTCCGCAAAGACTCCTGGCCTCATCAGATTAATCATCTTGGCTACCTGGTAGACATCCACGGAATTTTCTTTTTCTAGTTGGTGCATAAGGGTTGCCAGAGCACAGAAAGTTCCTGCTGTCACTCCTCCGTGCCTTGAAGCAAAGGAGAGGGACAGACTCCATTCAGATTCATCGGGCTTTCATATTTGGGACTCACAGAGAATGTACTCTTGACAACTTTGCCCTAAGAACACTGAGATTTCTAATGAATTGCTTCTCTTTATTGTGCAGAAAACTGTGGTTTATGGTTTATAGGACACTCAACAAGTGCTCATGATCTTAGTAATGAGATACTTTACAGAGAATTAAGATTTGCTTATACGAGGAGCTAGCAATAAATAAGAATGCTCTGACTAAGGTTATAATATGCATTACATATAACATGTATATAATATGTAATTCCAGCACACACATTTTTTTTTTTTTGCTTATAGCAAAAACCTGGAAAGACCTATTGGATAAAGATCTCTGTTTCTGCTAAATAAAAAATATATCAATTTTACTCCTATTCCAAGAAAGTTCATGGCTGAGAAATGTCTCTGATTAGCACCTGTAAAAATTCAAATGCTAAAACGAGTCATCAGCCCTAGCCAGTTTGGCTCAGTGGATAGAGTGTTGGCCCATGGACTGAAGAGTCTCAGGTTTGATTCCAGTCAAGGGCACGTACCTCGGTTGCTTGCTTCTCCCTAGCCCTGGTCAGGGCATGCACGGGAGGCAACCAATCAGTGTGTCTCTCTCACATGGATGTTTCTCTCTCTGTGTCTCTCTCTCTCCCTTCCACTCTCTCTAAAAATCAATAGAAAAATATCCTAGGGTGAGGATTAACTATAAATAAATCAATCAATCTAGACCATCACACAAAGGGCTCTTGGCATCCATTGCAAGAGCGCATTTTTGTGATCACACACCCATCTCCTGCCTTCAAGGGGAGCTCCAAGAGAAGTGAAAAAAAATTCCGTGTTCACCTTGTCTGTAAGAAGCAGATAATACACCCACACTGAATCACTACATTGGCCCAAAGCATTAGGTGAGTACAAAGAGCAGAAATCCGAGTACACCTAGGGGATGCTCAGGCACAACTTGATTTCGAGTGTGGAACTTACTCATCGTGGACAATCATGGGCCCATCCCTGCTGGCGGCTTCTTCTTTGATAAGACTTAGAAGTTCAAAAGTTTTACTAATGGGGCTATCTGGATTTGGCCACTTGGGACACTGAAAATGCCTCACTTCCAGTACATAATCATCCTATAACAAGAAAGAAAAAATCATGTGTTTAAAAGAATCAGATGGGTTACTGAGTAGAATAAGTGAGGAAAATCAGAAACCACAGGAAGGTGATGAAAGCCAACAGCACGCACAAGCGAGCAGCAGTGTCAGCCTGTCCTCCACAGAAGAGAGATGTTGCTGTGAGGCCACGCTGGTCACATATAGAAGCATCTCTTTCTTATTCTAACGATAAGCCTTATTTGTGGGATTATGCCAACCAAACCATGAAAGGATGTGCAAAAGATGTGTCTGTGATGCTAAATTTAAACTTACAAAAAGAAATCTTCAGTGTTAAAATTTATTTCAAAAATATCGTAGACTTTTTCAGTACCAGTATCACACAGGTTTAACTAAGGGGAAAAGAGACAGCAGGACACTGGGGAAGACGCTGGCAAGGAGGGTGGTGTTTGTTTCAACCTGGTCCCAGTTCTGATTCTTGCTTAAGTGACCAAGCAACCTGTGTGACTTTAAATCCCTTACACCTCAGACCTCCCGGCTCCTGAAGTGTACACAATCAAATGTTACATTTAAAAACAAGCAGCAGATGCCCAGCCGGCGTGGTTCAGTGGATAGAGTGTTGGCCTGCGGACTGAAGGGTCCCAGGTTCGGTTCTGATCAAGGGCATATGCCTGGGGTTTCGGACTGAATTTCCAGTAGGGGGTGTGCAGGAGGCAGCTGATCAATGATACTCATTATTGATGCTTCTATCTTTCCCTCTCCCTTCCTCTCTGAAATCAATAAAAATATATTTTAAAGAATAATTAAAAATAAATTAAAAAAGCAGCAGAACCAACATTTTATATGGAAGTGCAAAAGTCCAAAATATCCAAGATACAACTGAAGAAGATAGTCAATATAGGAAACTATCTCATTAGTATCACAAAGTCTTATATCCTATAAGAATGAACAAGACCCTATAGTTTTGGCTGAGGCATGAACAAAGAGACCAATATAATACATAGAGATCCAAGAAACAAGCCCATACATATACGAAAGAAATCTGATTTATTACTGAACTGGTATTGTTGATCACTACATGTGCTGGGACAATGGTTATCCACATGGAAAATAAGAAAATTGGACCTTGCCTCACAAAACATAATACAAAATGTCAATTTCAGGTGGAGCTATAAAACATTTAGGAAAAAGGGTAAAAAGATGATTTTTCAAGGTAAAAATGGATTTTTTAAAAAGGCACTAGATGATTTCCTTATAAAAGTAACAAGAACCTGGCCGGCATGGCTCAGTGGTTCAGCATAGGTCGACCTACTAGTATAAACCAGGAGGTCACGGTTTGATTCCCGGTTAGGGCACATGCCCAGGTTGCGGGCTCAATCTCCTGTAGGGGGTGTGCAGGAGACAGCTGATCAATGATTCTCTCTCATCATTGATGTTTCTATCTCCCTCTTCCTCTCCCTTCCTTTCTGAAATACATCATATATATATATATATGTATGTATATTATATATATATAATTTAATTTAGTAAAACAATTCTAGTTCACTGCACATTTTCAAAGCACTTCTTCACTTATCAGCTCATATATTCCTGGACAGCAATGCGTTAGTTTACTAGGTAATATGTTTTCCATTTTACTTAAGAGAATCCAAGGTAAAGTTAACACATGAGAATAAGGATTGATTCAACTTCTTTTTACTTTGTTTACTTTTATTGCTGGAAAAGATCCTTAAAAAGCATATATTTAAATGTGCTTAAGATGAAAAGTTTGTCATTTAGGTTATATCCATACCTGTGTAGCTTCTAAGATAAAATCTTGAATTAAAAGTTTTTCTTCATTAGACAGACACTTGTGTTCTTCAGCCATAAGAGTAACCTTAAAGCTTTCACAATTTATAGGCTCATCTTTATTTGGCCAATAAACAAATTCATCTTCTGCCTGGAGGATTAAAAACCAAAGAAAAAGCTAGATTTTAATAAAATTTCTTAATTAAGCAGGCTGTGAAATGAAGTTAACTGGTTGCCATAGAAAATTCAACACGTTTTTCTTTGAACTGCAAAATTTACTCTTAAGCCAGAACCGGTTTGGCTCGGTGTTCTTCAGCCATAAGAGTGACCTTGAAGCTTTCACAATTTATAGGCTCATCTTTATTTGGCCAATAAACAAATTCATCTTCTGCCTGGGGGGCGTGCAGGAGGCGGCTGATCGATGTTTCTCTCTCATCGATGTTTCTGGCTCTCTATCCCTCTCCCTTCCTCTCTGTAAAAAATCAATAAAATATATTTAAAAAAAAATTTACTCTTAAAATCTTGTGTCTTATAAACCAGATTGACCTGCAGAATAAAACTTAAGAACACAAATTATTGCTTTTTTGTTTCCTTAGTTTATCAATAACAAAGATTAGTTGTTGCTTCTATAATTGATAACTTAATAGATGAAAGTCAAGTGATTTTAAGAGCTCAGCAATTTACAGCATCATTTGGAATGGTCAGCATAACTTTATGGACAAGAAATGAATCTCAAGGTATATATGCAAAGGCTAAATGAGATATTAATAAGATTTTATTTTGGGGTTTCTCCAAATACATATGAATAGTAGCATAGGGCATCCATGATTTTCTGATACTAAAAAGTCCTTCGGATACTGGGAGTTCACTTTATTCCAAATTGGTCTTCTATGGATAGCCTCAAACTGAGGGAATCTCCAAATATCTTACAAAGTTTTATTAAAAATATATACAGTAGAAGCATATGGACTGACTTCATTCATGATTGTGATTGTAATTTTCTTAAACTGTGTCACAAAACACTTAAATTTAAATTAATTTCAACCTACCCTTATTTAAAACTGTCATTCAACAATTTCAGATCTGATTGCATAACCAAACCAGGCCCAGTAATAGTCAAAGTGCAACTCCAGTGACATTACTTTATTAGTTGAAAACATGACTGGTTTGTTTGCTGGACTTCCGGCTGTTGTGAGCTGATAGTTCTCCCTCAAGGAAAATACTAAAAGCGGCCTGAGGGCCTTACCATGTTTTGACCATCAGGAAGCATAACCACCAGCTGGGCGTTATGGTCCCATATCATCCTCCAGAAATCTTTGATGGTGTGGAGAAGGGGATGCTGCGTGATGATAAATTCGTTGCTCTGGTAATAACCCTACACAATCAGAAAGAAGGTAGATAAAACCTTGACATATGACTTTAAATATTCAGAAAACATCGGTAGGTTTATGGCCGTCTCTTCATTTTCAGATTGTGTTTATAAATAACAATGTGATTACTCCAGTCAGTGTTTAGGGGGCACTGCTCCATGCCAGGTATAACACTAAGCATTTCTTCCCCTTAAGTTGGTTACTCCTCCCAGCGGTACTACGGGATAGAAAATGCGATCCCCATTTTACAGATGATTAAGCAGATGCCCAAGTTCACACAGCCATCAGCTCTAGGAGCAGACTTATCAAAATGACTTATGAACCGTATCTCCTTCACTATATAGGGTGGAAATCTAGAGAAGAGTTACATTTCTCATTTCCCACAAGTCCCAGCGACAGCGTGCACATTTCACACCTCTGGCAACAGGGCACTTTGGTGTCCAGAGGCCCTCTGATGGATGAGCACATGTTTTGGGTCTCTTCATCAGCCCTGATGGTGTTTGCTCCCTGCACCTACTTACTTGCAGGTTTTCCCACTCCCAGCCTACATTACAGCATCAGGGAATGCTGTCGTCTATTGCTACTGCGGGTGGGGGGCCTGCCGTCATCAGATCTGACTTCTGTGCACCTGGGCTGCTGCCCATGTTCCCAGCTACTGCTTCAGGCAGCTCACTGTGGTTTGGGTTCTGGTAACACAAACTGGCAGGCAGTCTCCCCAGCGACTTCTCTGACTTACCATGATATAGGAGGCGTTGATGTAGTCTGTGCCTTCCCCGCTCAGGGACGAAATGCCAACCCGTGATCTTTCCACTGCAACACAAAGCATTCTGGGTAAACAACCGTGCCCCCCATGCTACACCTTCCCCTTCAGCCCCACATGGCAAAACACAGCTGCGTGTCTCAAGCTGAGTGTCTGACCTATAAGCTCACGTTACCATGTATTTTGCAGTTTTAGATGACACTTCAGGGTTTGAGAGTCCTTTTTAAAAGTTACATAATTAGAAAAATCTGAGTGTACTGCTTTTGTCCTGAAATGTACAAATATTGTCAAATTACTTACAAGGTTTGTATTCTAAACCAAAAAAAGTTTTTTTTTTTTTTCTAGATTCAACATATCCTACCAGGAATAATGGAAGAAGTTCTGTTCTTTTCCCTGTTGCATTGCTTTAGGGCTGTAGAATAGTCACTCTGCTGTATATTTGATTGACTCAGGAGCTGAGAATGGGAGTGAAGGAAAATACAGGTTATTTTTTATTTTATTAAAGTCACTCAAATACACACACATGCGCACACACACACCACACTCCTATACATACACAGCCCAACCAAGGTAAGATACTGAATATAAACATATCTGACTTTTTTTCAAGAATTCCTTGAACTAAACTTGTCTTAGGGAACTCCATGGCACATCTGTGTTTTACACCAGCGAAGTTGGAAGAAGCAGAGAACACTAGCTTCCTAGGTGACTTGCAGCACCGGGAAGACCTTCCCCATGGCTTCCTCAGTGGGTGTGCACTCTCCATTTCCTCTACTTAAATCTCGTGCAGTTGGGAGACAAGCTGCATACTGTGTGTGTGTGTGTGTGTGTGTGTGTGTGTGTGTAAATATATAGGGGTATAGTTGGATTTTATTCATTCTTTTAATACTCCATTACATGAATAATCTACTTGCTATTTATCTACTCCCCAATTACTGAATGTTCAGGTCATTTCCAATGTTTTGCTATGTCAAAATTTGTAGCAATGAATATCCCTTCTATATTTCTGAATGTTCACACATGTGAGGATTTCTACAGAGAATTAGGAGTCACCAGTGTTTAAGTCTTTTTTTAAAAAAAAAAAATTTTATTGATTTCAGAGAGGAAGGGAAAGGGAGAGAAAGATAGAAATATCAATGATGAGAAAGAATCATTGATCAGCTGCCTCCTGCATGCCCCTCACTGGGGATCGAGCCTGCAACCCAAGCATGTGCCCTTGACTGGAATCAAACCAGGGACTCATCAGTCCGCAGGCTGACACTCTATTCACTGAGCCAAACCAACTAGGGTGTCCAGTGCCTAAGTTTTGATATATAAAAAAGTGCTGTATCATGGTTTTGATTTGCATTTCCTTAATTATTGTGAGATGGAGTACTTTAATGTTCATCAGCCATTTAGGTTTCTTCTTTGAGGACTGTAGTTTCATATTTCTGCTTCACTGTCAGTTATTGATTTGTAGGGGTTTTTGATATCTTGAAGGTAAACCTATAGTCTGTTTAAAAAGTTGCAAATATCTTTGTTCTCTTTAATCACATAGACATTTACACCCAATGTATTCAGTTTTCCCTTAAGATTTTTGTAAATTATGTTTTTATTTAAAAATCCCTTCTTTATTCTGAACCCTTGAAAGGTATGTCCCTCTAATAGTTATAATAGTTAGCGTTCACCTTGAGGTACTTAAAATCCATCCTGAATAATTGTAGTGTTTGAGGTGTGGTAGGGGCCTAAATTTACTTGTTCCCACAGAGGAATTGTTTAATATAATTTACTGATTAGTTCATCCTTACCTTACTAATTTGGAATGTCGTATTAATCACAACAATTTACACGTGTTCATGGCTCCTCTGGTTTATTCGTCTGTTTTTAAATATTATTATATCTGCATAATAAGTCTTCCATAAGCAGTACAATACATTTCTATTTCTTATTTTTCAGTACTGGTTTGGATGTTTTGGGACCTTTATGCTATATTAATTTTAAAATCAGTTTCAAAAAAAATAAAATAAAATCAGTGTCAAACACAAAAGCCTGATATGTGATAGGTGTCTGATATTTATTTGTTGAATAAATAGACATGTAATTTATTTCAGAGAAATTTCCCTATGGATAAACTTGAATCAATACCTTTCCTTATATGACAATAAGCGCGCGCACACACACACACACACACACACACACACACACCTGCATTTCCTAGTTATGATGTTAACAGGAAACAGAGTCAAATGTCTCTCTTTTTCATTGGATTCTGATGTCAAAATTGATATTTCCATTTGATCCTGGTCATCCAGTGGAAGCCATATCAGTTCTCTTATAGAACTGTGTCAGGGATAGCGCATAGTGAAATGCTGAATATGGGTAAGACATATGTATTTTTTTTTAATTAAAGGAAAAGCTATCCTAACAACCTAATGTTAACATTTAGTATTTCCTTATTATCTGTTTCTGGGAGCCGTGCCGGGCACGTTTCCTTTCTGCCTCAGAGAAGCTTGACTGAGTGAAACGTTTATGTTTATGTTTTCCCAACAGCAGGTTCTCAGTTCAGCATTCACCCCTCGTCTTTCTCTTACTCCTCCCAAGTGCAAACGGTGCTAAGAGGGCCACGCATCAGAGACAATTCAGTGCTAACATCTTCTATGTCCTAGGCTGGGGAGAAGGGAGGGGAAAACCTGAAATCGCAAGGTTTGTTATCTAACTCTCCTGGGTTTTTCCAACGTCTTCTGAATTCTTCCCAGATTGTCCTTCTCCAGAACCTGGCCCTGTTTCTCCGGGGATCCTGGGAAGTAAGAGGTTAGCACGGGAAAACGGGGAGCACAGCAGCAGCCTCCATTCCTCCGGAAGCCCCGGCCCCAGCTGGCAGGGTAACACCTGCTTTCTGAATTCTTTGCTCCCTGATTTCTGGAAGTCAGAGAGCTGGGCTGCAGGAGGAATAATATTAAACAACAACAGAAACACCCCGTGCTCTCCTCCCTGGTGCGCGGCCGGGGGACAGGGCGCGTGGGAGAAACGGGGTTGCAGAAGCCATTGTTGCGGTGTCGCCTATTCTAGCTCAGGGCCTTCAAGTGGGGCAGACTCTCCAAAGAGCAGCACGAACAGCCCGAGCCACCGCACTCGCGGCGGAGTGGTCTGGTTTTTTCAAAGCGAGAAGGGCACTTGTGTGGTCTGTATTGTAAGGCCTGTCTGTTCATCCTGGTGGCTGGGTGCCCCCCTCCCTGCCCGAGTCTGCATTTATGAAAGTTAGTCTAGGGTTTCTGAGAACTTTTTCTTCTCGCCACTCCAGAGGAAGGTTCTCCTTGAAACGTACCACGTGGCTTCGCTGCCCGTTGCAGAGAACAATACGAGCCACTGTGCCGGCAGCTCTCTCCACCATCCCCTTGGCCCTGTCCACTCCAACGAGGGGAGGCAGGCACATTCAGTTCTGTGGCGGGACCCGAGGCGCTGCCAAGAGGACTCACCTTGAATTGTTTCTCCAGCTTTGTTTTGCCCGTCGGCCCGGGAATGAGGAGCGCGTTGACATAGGCGTGAAGATGACTCTCTGGCACCTCAGTCTCTTTGCTCAGTATGGCCTCCACCAGCGCGTCGTGAATGAAGATGTACTGTTCCTGGCAAGGCAGGGACAGGAGGGAATATTACTCAGGTTTTCCTTAGGTGCATCGAGGTCAGTGGTTCTCAACCTTCCTAATGCCGCGACCCTTTAATACAGTTCCTCATGTTGTGGTGACCCCCAACCATAAAATTATTTTCGTTGCTACTTCATAACTGTAATTTTGCTACTGTGATGAATCATAATGTAAATATCTGATATGCAGGATGTATTGTCATTGTTACAAATTGAACATAATTAAAGCATAGTGATAATCACAAAAACAATATGTAATTATATATGTGTTTTCCGATGGTCTTAGGCGACCCCTGTGAAAGGGTCGTTCGACCCCCAAAGGGTCGCGCCCCAAAGGTTGAGAACCGCTGATCTAGGTATAAAAGCAGTATCTTCCATTGACAGACAGAAGGAGTTATACTGAGGGTGGAGAGAAACCCACAAAAGATTGCTTATCAGGCCCGGCAGGAAGGCAGGGGCAGGAAGGCAGGGGGAGGAAAAGAGGCGTCGAGGGGGAACACAGCTCTTCTCTTCCCTCACCTCTCCATTTCCTGTGGATTTGAGGAGGCACAGCAATGCCTTGTCTCTGCCCTGCCTTCAACCCAAGGCCCACGTCCGCATTCTGCATGAGGACTGCATGAGGACTTCCATGACCTCTATCCCTCTGATGGGTCTTGCCCTCTGTCCATTCTAATTCTCCCTTTAGCCCGTCATATATAATTTAGTGTAATTATTTATACGGTTTTAAAGAGTTATCTCCTTTTTATGAATAGGACTCTTTTCTCTAGACCAGTGGTCCCCAACCTTTTTTTGGCCGTGCCCCACCTAAGCATCTCTAAAATCCTGATGCCCCCCCCCTCCCGTGACATATAATTCTTATTCAAAAAGTGAACTCCTATTCACATGGAGGAAGCGTCAAAGGCCATTCACTTGGTCTAAACAAACTTCCAAAGAACATGGCATCCATGAAAGAGAAAAATGAATAAACGAAAGAACAGTTGAAGTACTGAGGAAGAAATCACTAAGAAATTGTTAAAAAATAATAATACGAAGTGATATGAAAAAATAGCAGAGTTTCAAAACATATAATAGAGAACTGAAATGCATAAATATGTCACAAGATATATTTATATACTGTATATGAGGACCCTAGAATCATAAGAAATGCAAAAAATTAACTGTTAATAACTCATTCTTGAAAGCCCCCCCCCCTTAAAAATCAAATTGCCCCCCTGTGGAGTGTGTGCCCTACACTGGGAACCACTGCTCTAGTCTTATGTGACTAGAATGTCAGTTCTTTTATGAAATGAAATTTGGTTTGGTTTAAAACCTGTTCTGTTTCCAATCGCTTTCAAGCTGCCATCAATAATTTTCAATTTACATTTTTTTTTATTTAGACATAGCGACAACCAACACAGATATGCAGACTTGTCCTGTGTCATAGATGTGTAAAGAATATGGGCCTAAAAATGGATAGGACTTGAGCATAATTCATGCTTTTTAAATATAAAAATGAATCCATTCGTTGACTATGTGGAGGAAAAACTTGAGGATTTTGCTAGTGGAAGATTCATTTTCTGAATCTTCTCTGTAACTGGTGTTACTTTAAAGATAGTTCCCATTTGGTCACAAAATAGACAAAATTTATCTGGCCCTTCCATGAATTATATGCAATTACCTCTTATGGGTTGAACTGTGTCACCCCAAAAGCAGCCTTAACCCCCAGCACTTCAGAATGTGACCGTACTTGTAAACAGAATCATTGCATATGTAAATAATTTGACTGAGGCAGTGGCTAGTGTCCTTGTGAGAGGAAAATTGGGACATGGACACAGAGGGAAGAGGGCCGTTTGAAGACAGAGACAGGGGTTGGAGTTAGGCTGCTCCATCCCAGGAACGCACGTGCTACCAGAAGCTCGAAAAGATAATAAAGGACCCCCCGCTAGAGGTTTCAGAGGCAGCATGGCCCTGCCAACACCACGATTTTGGACTTCCAGCTTCCAAAACGATGGGACAGTCCGTATCTGTTGTTTAAACCGGTTTGTAGTACTTTCTATGGCAGCCCTGCCAGACTAACTCGCCTGCTAATACAAACACTTGTCTATCCAGCGTTAGCATTTTAGTGGTTTCCAACCCTTAGATAAATAAAAGCATTCCTTTTCTCATACCTCAGTTTGCACCAAATAGTTTCTTTGTGAACGGATGTGTTTTAAGAAGCCGAATATGTTGACTGTGCTTTCATGTTGAATTTGCTGCAACATACTGTCCAGCACAATATATGTGCCTGTTCTCCCAACTCCAGCACTAAAGAAAACAAAAGATGAACTGTTTCAATGTCAAGCACAGAATAAATTGGAAGATAGGTCACTATGAGCTGTCTTGTAAATTAAAATAATTTCCTTCCTCTAGCAAACGAGCCACATAATAAATAATTAGCTATCCAAAATTGAAGTAGTTGGTAAGCATATGCTTCAAATGACAACATTTCCATTAATTTTTTTTCCTACCAGTCAAATTGCAAAACAATCTATTTCTGTTGTAGATTTTTTAAAAATATTTTTTTTTATTGATTTCAGAGAGGAAGAGAGAGGGAGAGATAGATAGAAATATCAGTGATGAGAGAGAATCATTGATCATCTGCCTCCTGCATGCCCCACACTGGGGATCGGCCCACAACCCAGATATGTGCCCTTGACTGGAATTGAATCTGGGACCCTTCAGTCTGCAGGCTGACGAGCTATCCATTGAGCCAAATCAGCCAGGGCTCTGTTGTAGATTTTTTATTTTCAATAATTATATTTAGTATTCATTTTATATTGCACAGTGAAAACATTGTTTGTCAGAGCATAATAAATAGACAATTAATCTGAGAAAAATAAAAGCACCAGCGTCACCAGATTCTGAAAAGAAAAGGTCCCTGGGTCTGTATTGCCAGGGAGACATGTTTGTAAAGATTTCCGCGTTAATGGGAAAAAGAATTTGATCCAGCTTGCAGCTGAAAAATATCATTTCAGCGAGAGCGTGAAGAATAAAGCTTAACTTCAGTCATTTCTAAAGGGTCATTATCTACTGACTTCTTCAAAGACTCTACTGAAGGGACAGAATTCACAGACAGGATTCCTTTCAGCGGCTCCAACAAGTGGAAAGTGCTAGAGAGGAAAATTGGCACCTGCTCTGCACAATACCCTGGTCCTTCTCCATTCGCTCAGAAACAATTCCTGACCTTCAGAGCTGTTTTTCTTGCATCTTCCTGTTTCCCTCAGCTTATCTTCAGGCGAACAGATAAAAACCTCAAGATAGGTCTCTCAAACTTTGTCTGAAGAGAACTCCTGAGATAGGTAATTAGAATATGTCAGATAAGCTGTAGAGCAACGGAAAATACTTGCTTCTGTAAGAACACGGGCACTGTTTTGATGAAAACACTGCACACAGAAATGGATTGATTTCTGTGGTCACAAAGCTTGGTGGAGAGTCCACACTCAGGAGGGGTTAACTGCTACTTTTATTTTAACTGAAAAATAGCACCTGAAACCTCCAATGTTGTTTCCTCTTTCTCTGTTATATCATTTTTTTCCCCTATCATCAATCCAGGCTTGGAAATTAAACGACTTGGGCAAGGATGAATTGATGACACATTCAATAGGATATATTAGGGAGAACTCAGGAAAATGAGAAAGGGTTTTAAAGTCCAAACTGTTTTAAAACAACTTAAAAGTATCCGTCAGATTCCTCACACTCCGTGTGCTTTGTTTTCTCTAATGTAAGCCTGGCATAATAACTCTTCAACAGCCCAGCCAGTGTGGCGCAGTTGATTGAGCATTGCCCTGTGCACCAAAAGGTTGTCAGTTCCGTCCCCAGTCAGGGTACATACCTGTGTTGTAGCTACGATGCTAGTAGGGCATGTATGGGAGGCAACAGATAGATGTTTCTCTTTCACATCAATGTTTCTCTCTCTCTCCCCCCCTCTCTCTAAGCATGTCCTTGGGTGAGGATTAAAACAAAACAAAACAAACCCTCTACAATAGATTGTTGCTTCTCAAGCATTTTTATCTCATGCCATATTGTAATCAATGTTTAAGGACAAAACATTGTTCCACCTGCCTCACATGGTTAATAAGTTGAAACCCAATTCAACAGTCAAATAGGATATAATAAACATTGTAAAAACACCTGGTGCTTTGAAATATTCAGCAATCAAATTGGAGTCTGACATATTCATTACCAATATTTATGAAAACCTGTATGTGATTTCATTCCCCTCATGAAACTGTTAGGGGCAAAATAGAATATTGGGGACTAGCCCTTGTGGACAAAAGGGGCCACATGCTAACCTGACAAGCTCAGGGAAGGCCTGTATGGCGGTCTTGCAAACTCTAAGACCTAAAGTAACCACAAGGATGGTCTGAAATTAAACTTTAACTAAAAGCAGTTTTGGTGGATAGTCATGCCAGTGTCTTCCCTGACAAGGTCAATCTTTACCTGAACTGAGCCTATTGTCTTTTTGCATCTACGATAACATGTCCTTGAAATGTCAGGGTAACTTTTAAATTCCCCTTTTTTCTGGACCCCTCAGGGCACAACCAAATGCACTGGGCACCAGGACAGAGACCACAAGTTCCTTCACATTTATTGTTATAATGTTAATTGTTGCTGTTAGCTATCCTGCACCCACCTAAGTAAAAGAAGTGTGTGTCTATCATTTTACTTTTTATCCAGTCCCAGAGGTTCCCCCCTTTGCTTTATCCTGCCTCCCTAATCCATCACCAATGGATTTCCTGTAGCCCACTTATGTCTCCTCCTTTGATTGTAATGTATAAAACGAGGTGAAGAACTGCCATTTTTCGGAGCATCATCCCAATCCGTTGAGATTCTGCTTCCTGGCAATTGTCCACAGTTTGGCTAAAATAACCTCACAAAAATTCTTTACAGGTTTGAATGTTTTTACATTAACAATATGGTTATGGGAAGTATTAATCATGCCCTGTTAACCATGATTGCCTTGGGTTGGTTTAAGAAAGGACATTCTGACCTGGCTGGGAGGTGTATGCACTGGGACATGGGAGTCAACCTTGGAATGTGGTCCATTCTCATTCAAGAATGGAAAGATTAACAACCTTGCTGCCCAAACAATGGAGTCTCACCCCAGCCTGAATTGCGTACTTCTCCATACCTGTAATCCCTACTTCCCCATGTAATCTTTTTCGTACCCTATATAAGCAGCTGGCTTAGGGGGGCTGCAGAGCAGATTTTTGTGGATGACTTGCTGTTCTCCCATTCTGCCCGCATTATTGGAATAAACACTCATAGATGATTCAACCCTGTCTCTACTGAATTGGCTCAAGTAGTGACAGGCAGCCAGGACTCATTGGTTGTCCAGTTTCAAAACCACTTCAAGATTTCCTGGTTGTTAGCATAAGCAAGTCTATGGGTTAGAAACTCACCTGCAGTGGACAACCACAGGCCCCACCGCGTAGCGTTTGGCCTGGGATGCCTTTCTCACGAAGGTCAGCACGGGCAGTGAGTACTCTGGCACTCCCATGTCGGGCCACTGCGTGTAGTGGTACTGCGTGACCACGCGCCCACTGGGCCTTCCTTTCTGGGAGCCCTGGAAAAGACCAGACAGCAATCAATCACAGGAATGCACGCAAAACACAGGGGGCTCTTAAGCAGCTTAGGGTGCACAGCTGGGTGTGGGCAGCCTGTAATGAAGCAAATGTGCACACTGTTGTTTGTGATGGTTGATCTTGAGAAGGTTAACCCCTATTTTGTAAAACTACTGTTTGGAATTCTCTGCTATTTTTTTTAGACAGCCTCTTATTCTAAAAAAATAATAACTTTGCTTTCTAACCTGCTTTAGCCTGCTTGAATAATGAGGAAGATAAACTTAGCTGTCTGACCTTGTAGGCCAGAGACTAGATACGCCCATACTCTCAATGCCATGCCAGGTGTATTTTTAATTGGATAGAACTGTGTTGTTTTCAAGGCCACCAGGGAGATTACCACTAAGCACACATAGGGCTGGCCCTTTAATAAAAAGGGAAGTTCTGCTTGTAGCTTGGCTCAGAATTTGAAAGGCATTTTTCTCTGGGCCCGTGTGTAATAATAAAGTGTGACTCCAAGCTCTCCGAGCATTGCTTGATTTATTCCGGTTCTCTGTAACAATCTTATGTGTGGACTTGGCCAGGCTGTAGTGGCCTGTGGTTTAGTCGAACACCAAGTCATACCAGATGTTTCTGTCAAGATATTTTTAGATGTGATTGACATTGATGTGATTTACTGAGTAAAGCAGATTATGCTCCAAAATATGAGTGGGCCTCATGCAATTAGATGAAGGCCTGAAGAGTAGACTGGGGATTTTGAGAGAGGAAGGAATTCTCCTCACGTCTGTAACACAGACACTGCCTGAATTTCCACCCTGGAGTCAGTCAATCTCAAGCTCAATTATCTCTCTTTCTCTCCTTTTCTCTCTCTCTCTCCCCCTCCTTCCCACCTTCCTCCTTCCCTCTCTCCCTTCCTATTTCCCTCTCTGATTACTACATCATTGTTCTGTTTTTCCCCTTCCCTTACTTTAAGCTCCACTATTTTTAGTTGGATGTGCAGTGATGAAAGGGGCAGGAATTTTTGTTTGTGCATTAAATCCACTGCAACCATCAGCACCATGTCCAATCTAGCTCCAAAGCCATGGCTGGCATTTAGAGACTTGGAAGAAACTTTGGGATTGAGGTGTAGCTAAAGTAAGAATGCTAATGCCTTTATTATACATTTTTACCCTATCTTCGTTATACCACCCGTTCACTTGCAAACGGGCCAGATGTGTTACTCAAATGAGAATGTCCATCATTTATGGACTCACCTTTTTTATCTTTGTGTTTCTCAGGGTAAAATTTCTCACAGTATAATAGGCAAGCATTTGAACACTCTTCTGAGTGACCAGAAAGTTCCCATACTCTTCACTACCATCCGCAGGCCAGTACTGGTCACATTTTCTCTGCAAAAGAGAAAGTAAAGATGCTTTTCCATATCCAATACGCCACGTAAGAGCAGCGCCTGAAATCTGTAAAGGTCTGAGACTGTGACAGGAATCAACTCTCACTCTTCTAAATATTTCTTTCCTTTCTAAGTGATTGCAGATTGGCTGAAGAGGGACCAGGGACAGATCAAAGAAGCAAAAGGGACTTGCAATTATCTGGTCCAAACTTCCCCCTTTCAGATGAGGAAAGTGTGGCTAGATGTATCTAGTCACTATAGGGCCAGCACTGGAATACAGCTCTTCTGAATTATAATCAATCTCACTCCACATTGCTTTTCAATGAGCCCCATTTATCTTCCTCAAACTATGAAGAATGCATTTCAATAGCAGATGACTGGATTAATAGTGAAACTTTTTGCCCTAAAATATTATGTTTTCCTTTAGCTGTCATACTTACTGGAAAGGAGTCCTCATGAGCTCTCCTACCTTTGCTGGTTCCTAAGGCTGACTCCATGAAAGCACTTTGAAGCGCCTCTAGTCGTTACTTTGGGGATGCCATAAGGCAGTGGTTCTCAACCTTCCTAATGCCTCGACCTTTTAATACAGTTCCTCATGTTGTGGTGACCCCCAACCATAAAATGATTTCCTTTGCTACTTCATAACTGTAATTTTGCTACTGTTATGAATTGTAATGTAAATATCTGATATGCAGGATGTATTTAGGCGACCCCTGTGAAAGTGTCATTCGACCCCCAAAGGGTCGCGACCCACAGGTTGAGAACCGCTGCCATAAGGGATTACCCACATACCCTTCCCTTCTCCACGAGGTTTGTGATCATGACGATGACTTCCACATTATGCTCCCATATCATTCTCCAGAAATCTTCGGCTGTGGATTTCAGGGGGCCTTGGGCAGCAATGTAAGCTTTTGGTCTGGTGTAACCCTGAAGAAATAAATGAAAACATTTCTTACTAACTGATTTGCATGCCATTTTTAACCATCTAAGACTTACATTTTTAGGTCAGCACATTTTTTTTTCTATAAAAGAAAACCATAAAAAAAAACACCCTGCAAAGCTAGATAAACTTAATAGCACTAAAACACACAGCAATTCTTCTTTAGCTACATGTTTTTGTAGAAAAAGGGGGTGCAACATTCTGTGCACCTCTAATCCAAGTATATTTACTCTAAGTCTATGTACTTTGCTTAAAATCTGGTCCGTAACTGTGCTGCTTTGAAACGTGGTCCAGGCGTTAGGGCCCAATTGTTTACAACAGTTAGGAAAGCTCTGGTGTCTCTTTACCCTTTCCTTGGTGGAACTGAGCAATGCTAATGATTAATACTATGCTTCACTGAGCACCCACTGCTGGCCAAGATGCTCTACAAACATTGACCCTGATCCATAAGCTATCTGCAAAATGGAAGCATCATCCTCATTGGAAGATGAGGACGCTGGAGCTCAGAGGAGTTAAGTGGCTTTCCAAGCTCCCACAGCTAGCCAGCGGCAGACCTGGATTCAAAACGAGTAGTTCTGACTCCCAACCCCCTGTTTGATATGACATACTTATTGCCTCATCTGGAAGCAAGAAGTGGGTGCCTACAACAAACCCACTGGATACTTATATTTGGTGCTCACTTCTTTGAATTCAGTGTTCCACGCAGCATCAAAATGAAGGCAGCGAGACTGAGAGCTCACTGTCAGGAGAATAACTGAGCTCTATTGACATTCCGTTGACCACAGTGAAAAACCAGTAAGTTAGTCAGGGATCTGCAGCCCCTGAGGAGCTCTAACAGGCCCTACAAAGCTGGGTGTCCTGAGGGATGTCCGAGGTTATATTGATAACTGGTTAGTAGTAATCACTTTTAGCCAGTACCACCTTGGAAGTTTTTCAGTAAGGATTTATTGATCATCTGCTATCTACAGAGCATTGTGCCAGGGGCTCTGGGACATGCAAAATAAACACTGGTCCTGCCCCCCATATTGAAGGGGTTATAAACCTCTCTAAATCTCTATCTATCTATCTATCTATCTATCTATCTATCTATCCATCCATCCTACCTTGAGTATACATTCCCAGCCTGAATCCCTCACACATTTAGAAGATAAACCAAATATATGAGCTGGGTTGTTATTCAGTCTAAAATCATTTAGACAGGGGAATCTCTCACCACTGATTTATGTTTCTTATCATTGATCATATAACATGTATTAAATACTAGTATGTGTTTGGCGCAGTGGTATAATAAATTCTTACTCTAATATAATTTCTACAACATTTCAGTTGAAGCATGCTTACATCAACATAATTGGCATTGATGTAATCAGTCAGTTTGCCATCTTTTTCAGCAAGTTGTGCCAGCTTAACCCTACTATGGTCATCTGTAATAAAAAAGAAATTTCATTATAGCATGGACTACTTTTCAGCATAAAGGTTCTTTATATTTACATAATAATGTGTCAAATATAATGAAAATCAATGCAATATAATTTACTATAGTAGGCTTTGGGGGACTCCAGAGATGACAAAGATAAATATAAAAATAACAAGAGCTTCTGCCTTCAAATTTTCTAATGTGGAAGGTGAGAATGGACATATACACAGAAAGGAAGGCTGAGGTGTTGAGAGAGGTGCAAAGTAATAGGGGGAGCGTGAAGGAAGAACCTGTATTGGTTTGGGATGGTAAACATTCTTGCAGAGATTGAAACCTGAACTTGACATCTTAGATCAGTGTCTAAAGGTGGATATTGGGCTGTGAACTGAGAAGAGCCACTGAAGGGAGAGAAGAGTGATGGGGGTCTCAGGAAGCTGATGGCTGTAATATGCTCTGAAGATGAGGCTGATGGAGGAAAAACGTAGAGAAGGAAGCACAAGGGACCTAGGAAGTATCTGTGAATGGTTACAGCAAACAGCTCCCTCAAGGGAAGAACCTCAAAGAGGAACTCCTGCAAAGGGAGACAGGAGAAAGGCTGCCCAGCAACAGACACGGATCCTGCCCTGTCCATCAAGGGGGATGAAAGCTATGGTGACTGCCACACTGTGTACTGTGGTAATTTAAATATGTTGAAATGAAGTGTGTGGGATGAACTGCATTTCCACAGAGAGACTATATTTGGGGGACCGACAGAATAAGAAAGAAAAATGTTACAGGAAGAAAACATGGTAGTTTCCCAGGGCAGACTATTCTTTTCAAGGGTAAAGAAGTGAGTACAGCCCTAACTGGTTTGGCTCAGTGGATAGAGTGTCGGCCTGCAGACTGAAAGGTACCAGGTTCCATTCCGTTCAAAGGCATGTACCTTGGTTGCGGGCACATCCCCAGTAGGAGGTGTGCAGGAGGCAGCTGATCAATGTTTCTCTCTCATCAATATTTCAAACTCTCTATCCCTCTCCCTACCTCTCTGTAAAAAAATCAATAAAATATATTAAAAAAGAAAAAAAAGAAGTGAGTACAGACCAAACCGTGACAAGATTAAGTGATATTCAGCCATATTAATGCTTCTGTGACGACAGCTGCTCACACAGGTGAAGTAATATAAGCAGAAATAATGTGCGGCAATGGAATGAGGGGTGTGAGGCAGGTTCACCAATTTTTGTATTTTTATTCTAATAGATTTAGATGGATGTTACTGGCTAAATTTTCTGAGTTGTTTTTCTCCATTTCTAATGCAGGACTGTTAATTACCTTTCTTACCAGATTGTTTCAGGGATTAAATGAAATAATGTGTTGTGTGTGTGTGTGTGTGTGTGTGTGTGTGTGTTTTTATCCTCACCTGAGGATATTTTTCCATTGATTTTTAGAGATAGTGGAAGAGAGAGGGAAAGACAGAAATATCGATGTGAAAGAAACACATCTATTGGTTGCTTCCTGCACACGCCCCGACCAGGGCCTGGGCCTGGGAGGAGTTTGCAACTGAGGTATGTGCCCTTGAATGGAATCGAACCCGGGACTCTTCAGTTCACAGGCTGACAATCTATCCATCCAAACCGGCTCAGGCTAAACAAAATGATGTTTTTACAGTGCCAGGCACATAGGAGTTGTTCAACAAATGTTAATCTCCATCTTCTTCTTAGTTACCTGTTGGGTATTTTCTATTTAGCTGGTAGAGGGAATAGTTTAACAACTTCACCCTCTCCAAGAAGCAGCTGAGTTTTTTGTGCAGCCAGACAGTTGCTTCAGTTGAGGAAGACAACCATGAAGGGGAACCTTCTACTAAAAAAATAAACATTGATGTAAGCCCCTGGAAAGACAGGCAGCATCTATGCAAATTATTTAGAAAAAATGTAATAACGAAAGGGAGGCAAGTGCAGTTTCATTGGCCTCCAAAAGCTAGACTGGAACTAGTATTTAAATAACCAGGCTCGTAATACCATGTTCATAGGGGTCTAGGGGAGCTCACGGAATATATAAGGAAGATGTAAGTAGAGATTCAGGAAGGGGGATGAAGATGGATTACAAGAGATGGAGGGGAGGGAATATAGAAGGAAATCAAAGGGAAGAAATATAAACAAGAGGTGATATATATAAATGTTGCATCTTTATGTTGTACACCTAAAACGAATACAATGTTGTATATGTCAATTATACTTCAATTAAAAAAAACACAGAAGATGGTAATTTCATAGGAAAAAAAAGGTAAATTTGCATTAAGGAAAAGAGCTATTGAGAAGAAAAAGAGAAACACAGCTAAGAAAATAAAGGGAAAGAAGGAATCCAACTAACCCTTTATAAGACCCCAGGAGGAATGGCAAGAGAGGGAGGAAAGAGTGGGAGGAAAAATAAAGTCCAAAGAAAATATGACTTGGTTAATAAATTCACATAATAAATAGATCTCAAATGCAAATAGGACCATGGAATATAAATAATGACAGAAACCATAAGAACAGATTTATAGTCAATGGGACCTGAAGAAAGAACTGGATTAAAATGAGTTTGTTTTATTGAAAAGAAACAGGGAAGTGGGGGGCGGGAAGGGATTAACCAAAGAACTTATATGCATATATGCACAGCCCATGGACACAGACAATAGTGCCGTGAAGGCCTGGGGAGGGGAAGGGGTAGGGAGGGGGGTCAATGGGGGCGAAAAGGGGACAACTGTAATACTTTCAACCATAAAGGTAAATTTTAAAAAATAAAAAAACAGATGTCACTAATGGCAAAATGCATTTAAACTGGAGTGATACAATGCGCTGTATTATCTAACACAGTGGTTCTCAACCTGTGGGTCGAGACCCCTTTGGCGGACGAACGACCCTTTCACAGGGGTCGCCTACGACCATCCTGCATATTAGGTATTTACATTACGATTCATAACAGTAGCAACATTACAGTTATGAAGTAGCAACGAAAGTAATTTTATGGTTGGGTCACAACATGAGGAACTGTATTTAAAGGGCCAGAAGGTTGAGAACCACTGATAACACATGTTATTCCCTGACATAAAGGCTTTGCAACAGTGACCACAGGTCTGCTGAGAAGACTTGAGGACACTGTTTAAGGGCATAGCAATGACAATGGTAGCCAAGTCAGAGCTGAGTGAAGGACATACTTACAGGCAACGATATTTACGTAGCGGTTCTTGTGCTTGTTGTCTGGGTGATTGGAGCTGTCTGCTGTGATACCTAAGTCAACAGTACAGCTCTGCACTTCCTGTAAAGAAATCGTATGTGCAACATTTTCACACGTGTCCTTTCAGACAAAGGGCCTTAAAATATAATGAAGACAAAACAAACAAAATAGTCTAGCCAAAAAAATTTTAGCATGTTACAACTATTTCTTGGCTAAGAGAAAATGCAGTGAAATAATGCCTTACCTGGTAAAACTCTTTCAGTGTCTAATGAGGGAATGAATGCCAAAAAAGTAAAGAAATCAAATTCCACAGCACACGACAAATGAGAAAAAAAAGTGTTCATATTAGGTTTACAATGGAAAACTATGATCATGCAATAAATACATTTGTCAAATACAAAACAGAATGTTTCAAACAGTTACATGCAAATCAAAATTTCTGACAATTTGGAACTTTAAAATTATGTGAAAGGAAAAATTAACATTTTTAAAAAGGACAGTGGTAAAATAATATGATGGTTTTTTAAAAATTCAGATGAGAAAGCCATCTATTTGATGACACGTTTTGTCATATTAGGTAGGTTTGCTAATATCCAAATATAATGCTATTTGATCACTGTAGCACTATTTGAAACTGTGAATTAGTGATACATATTTTTGTTTGAGTAATTTTAAAGAATAAAACACTTCCTATTAGGTGGTTTGAAATAGATTTAGGGTTACAAAATATTAAAAATCTCCAAAAACTTTTTATCATATATTCTAGGTCATTTTGAAACAAAAATTTAGATAGCATTACTTTCTATACACTGACCTCTTTTTAATTTAATCTTCAATGGGTATAGAAAATTACTTCTGGCAATTATCTTTAAAAATGAGCTAAAATATTTTTCAGAGATATTTTCTAACTATATTAGTTTGGAATTAATAATTATTTAATATTAAAATAATGACATGAAAGCCTTACACTTTTTTGAGAAAGTATATAACCCAAATATGAACCTGATTAATCACAAATGGCCCAGCCTCTCTCCAAGTAAGCTTTTAATGTCTCTTTTGCAGCAAGTCATTCTGACTCTAGATTTAAAAACAATCTAATATTTAAAAGGTATAGCATTATTAGTTACTAAGCTAATTATTAAGTTAATGAAAAGTTTTCTTTCTTGAATCAAACTGCGAGTTAAAAGCAATGGAATTAAAAAACACATTCGGAGATTATTAATTTCATTATTACAAATAGCATAGTAATATTCAAAATGATTTTATAGTTGTGAAAGCGATAAATTTGCTTTTGCCCATATGCTATCAGCAACTTTATTATAAATTGTTTATTTTTCCTGATGGTTTTTACCATTCAGAAAATCAGACCTATCCTTGGTACATTCTCCCACTTTTAATTATGATTTTGTTTGAGGTGAGCCTGGTAGTTTCTATGAGTTAAAATCGGACCACTCAGTAACCTCTGTTAAATAAGAACAATTAATTTGACGTTTTAAATATGTAATTCTTTATATTATTCCGCTTTACTTAGTCATTATCTCACACTGATTTCTTATTCAAAGTTGCTATGGCTTAGGTTTTTTTTAAAGATTTGGTGAATTGTCTATTTTAAATTTACATCACTTTTCATTCTATTTCTTTTGATTTTGTAAAGCTTTCTCATCTGTGGCATCTTCCTTCCCTAAATGCACCTTGGTTGGCATGACTCCTGGGAAGCAGTTGCTGGGTGCAATGGAGAGAGTGGCACACCCTCTGATCAGGAGCAGAGCTGAAAGTGCTTTAAAGAGGGAGGTCCTCAGCCCGGCAGGCGTGGCTCAGTGGTTGAGCGCCGACCTATGAACTAGGAAGCCACGGTTCCATTCCCGGTCAGGGCACATGCCCAGGTTGTGGGCTGGATCCCCAGTGTGGGGTGTCCAGGAGGCAGCCGATCAATGATTATCTCTCACCATTAATGTCTCTCTCTCTCTCTCTCTCTCTCTCTCTCTCTCTCTCTCTCCCCCCCCATCCTTTCCTCTCTCAAATCAATAAAAATTTATATTAAAAAAAAAGGTCCTTAGAGCACTTGGATATGCAGGAGGGAGACAGAAAAGCCACATAATGCTTCCTAGAAGGGGTTGGGGGTGGTGGGGGAAGAGAGGGGCGGGGGGCTAAAGATCCCTAGCTTTCTGGAATAGAAAGGACATGAACTTTAAAATCACAGACCTAGGTTTGAATCCCAGCCCTGCTATTTTAGTTATTAATTCACTTCTATGGAAACTGATTTCATCATCAATGTAAATAAAAGCAAATAACTTCTAGAGTTGGGTGAAGGCTGAATGTAGAGTCACCTAGTACAATAAGTGACCCTATTTTGAAAAATCTGTAAACTGATAGTTCAATGGGCCATGATAAATTCACAGCAAATTTATCTGCCTCATCTACCTAAGAGTATTTTAAGGGATGTTACTAGAAAAATTTTCATTGATTGTAAATTTTAAATGCTTTTTAGAAATGTATATTTTTTTGAGAAATTGGGATGTTCCTTTGTATAATATTTATTATACCTGTATAATAAGTGCTTCTGCATTTACAGTGCTGTGATATTTATAATTAACCATTTGTATATACTTTGGCTGAGAAGCATGAAATTTAGTCATTTAGGGTAATTTATGTAATTTAGAAAATTAAAAGGAATCAGTGTTACTAATGCCTATTACTTTAAAAAAGAATGCTAGAGTTCTTTATTTTATGTGCCAGTATTAACTATGTTTTTAAAAATGTTTCCACTAGCATGACATGGCTTTTTAAAATGGAAAACCAATTTTCTAAATTATATGATAACCATACCACATCTCCTAAACGCATATATGGAACTAATATTCTCACCAGAAGTGAGAATGGTTTCAATGTCATTAGGTCAAAAAATAGTCTACTGCTGAATCGTTTAATTTGCTATTTTCCATATTACTTAACATAGACATAGTAAAATCATACCTCGAATTCTTCAGTAAACCCACTACTTGCATGTAAGTCTGCAACATGCTTTGGAAAGTGCTTTATTGGAATTGCTCCAACATCATCTAAGTGAATAAAAAAAAATGAGGTTGGAAAGGATAATTCAACTTACATGAATGTGCTCCCATTATAAAGATTTATTAGGTGGCTTCTTCTAAAACAACTTCAAAATTCAATTATTCTTATAACCCCAGTGAAACATTTAGCAACAATTACCAATTTTCTCTATATTTACTATCAATCATAATCTACATTTTAGAATTCTGACTAGATCAAGAATCTCTTTTCCTTTTATATCCCAAAGAGAAAAGAGTTCATTTTCAATGTTAAATTATAAATGCCACCAAAGCCTCACTTTTTATCAGTGAACTGCAACTCTTTATGGCTAACTTTCTTTAACATGAATAGGAGTTGCATGTAAATTCTAGGGAAAAATGCAGAAACAATATACTTTCAATTTTATCATGGACATGATATATAGTGCAATTTCAGTTTTTAAAAAATTGTATAGCTCAATGTCTTACAGTTAAATAGTAAGATTTTTTTACAGTTGAAAACATTTTTCCTTTATTTTATATGTAATAGAGAAGACTTATATGCAGACTGTTCATTAAAAATGATGTCAACGCCGAAACCGGTTTGGCTCAGTGGATAGAGAGTTGGCCTGCGGACTGAAATGTCCCAGGTTCGATTCCGGTCAAGGGCATGTACCTGGGTTGCTGGCGCATCCCCAGTGGGAGATGTGCAAGAGGCAGCTGATCGATGTTTCTCTCTCATCGATGTTTCTAACTCTCTATCTCTCTCCCTTCCTTTCTGTAAAAAATCAATAAAATATATTTTAAAAAAATGATGTCAAAAATCTTTGGGACTTTTAATCTTTAGTATTTCAAGAATTTTAACTTGAAAATATGCTATGGAAACAAACTCATCGTATCTGTGAGTTAATTGTGAAGAGGCCAAATTATTTCAACTGGCTCTTTTTTTTTCTGGAAAGACTTTCTTATATTAAACATATTACTAGTTCACAGCATGCAATTTCACAAGTGATTTCTCTGACAAGGAAACATCAAACACATTTCACTGGAAACAGTTATTTACATCAACAGCTGTTCAAGCATTCAGGCCATTTAATATTTTTAAGCCTCAATTACCAAGAATTGGTTGGTTAAAAAAAATTAGAATCCATCTGTTCTCTCTCTTAGATGAGTATACCTGAATACTAACATTGAATTAGCCAGTTAAGCTCAAGAAACTCTAGACAAAGGTGTAATTCCACCTTCACACCTACTGGAGGATCTTGCCTGCAGTAGCTTTTATAAGCAGATAAGGAAACAGAAATAATTTGTCACATCAAAATTGTTGGTTCTTTACTAAAGGTCCTTCAAATCCACTGATGCTATCCTGTACAGGTAACCTCTTCGCACAAGCAAACTGACTACTTTTTATTTACAATTATGTTATTTTGCTAATTTCTTTTATGAATTGGTCTGCAAGTGAGACCCAAATATCTTTTTATTTTCTGATTTTATATGAAAATGCACACATTTGGGTGATCAGGAGTGCATTTTTGAGAGCTGAGCAGGGAAAAAAGAGGAGATGCCCTTGATCACTATTTTGAGAAGCAGAACAGGGATTTCGGCTTTCCTGAACAAGATCCTGATTTTGGATTTATTTTTTATATTGTTAACAATAACCTATGCTGGACTTTGGATAATATTATGGCTAATTTGCATACCCAGGCTAACAGGATATGTAGAAGAGGTAAGTTTGAAAGTGAAGGGAATCAAAATGCAATAGATAACAGAACTGAAAGTCTCAAATCCCTTATATGTTCATGAGAAATGGTGCTGTCCTAACATAAATACACAGTAGTTTAATACAAAGAGTTAAATAGAAATAAGACAGTAGCGGATTAAAGACACAGAGTTGATAAAAGAGGAAAAACAGCCAAAGATATCTGACTCCTATGCTTGTTAAAAGTTACAAAGAAAATGCTTCTCTTTTTTCCTTCTATTTTTTAAATCATGAGATTTCAGAAGGTAATCTCAGGTAGAACTTGTGTCTTTAGCAGTAATGTATGCAGTACCAGAAAATTTAAAAGGAGGCTTCTGTAAAATGGCCATGTGGATGAATTTTTCCTTTTGTTTTCCCTGATTTGGTGACTGTCCATGGCCCTATCTCACCTTCTATCTGTGCTTCCTCATAGGCCACACATTTCTAGAAAATTCCTTTTTTGTTCTCTCTTTCATGCTGAGAGGTTGTACAATGGTAATAAAATAAGTGTCTGGGAATGTAGTCATAGTGTGAACTCTAGTATCAATGGGTGTCTTAAATGACACTGGCTGATTCTTGCATAGTGTTAATCAGTCAAGTTCTGATAAAAATAGTTGACTTTTTTCTAACATAGTTAAGAAACCTTTTCCCACTAAGGATTCTCCTCATTTTTGTTATTTTGTCCTATCCACCCTATTGCATTGGTTTAGTCCATTTTTGTTGTTTAGGTTTCATTTTTGTTGTTTAGGTTTCCACTAAAGAAGCTGAAAGGACCCAAACTCAGCATTATTCTTAACTAATACGTTACATAGTACATCTGAACAATTATAAGCTATTTTCCCACATCCTGTGTTAAGAATGTTCAAAGTTTCTGAGAACAAGTTATACAACTGGATGCCTGATACATGATGTAATACATATTTTGGGCAACACAGATGTATATTATAGGCATTTGCAAAGTACAATAAGAACAACCCTTCCAGCATTTTGCTTTTCATTCAACACCAACCAGCTACTCATGGTCATGCGTTAAGCTATTACCTGAAACTGGAAAGACAGGTGTTGGAGGTGTGGATATTACTCTGGGGGAAGTACTGTCCTCCAAGTAAAAGTGTGCAGTCTGGAAACATTTCCTGGAAGGGAAAGAAAGCAATTTAAACTACCAGCTGCCTCAGAGAATGAGACGATTTCTGAGCTGCTTAAAAGTCATGACAGAAATCTTCAGAAACAAAACATAAGGGGAAATCTGTATCTATTTGTATAAAACACAAAGTATTGGAGCAATTTATGGCCTCCAAATTATCTCAGTTTTATGTCCCAGATGCAGAAGAGCAAGTGGATATCAGACTTGCTGAAAGCAGAGATGGTATTTAAAGTTGTAGCTGAAGTGGGAGCTTTGCGGAGGTCGAATGTCTTAACACCCTAGTTACTCTTCCACTGTTTCTACCTTGGACAGGACCACAGTGGAAAAGAGCCGGTCCAAAGCTATTTTCACTCAACATTTCAGTGACCAGGCCCGTCCGAGCCCATTCAGCCGCTAGCAAAAGGCAGCAAGCTATGATTGTGTGGGAACAAAATTCCACAGTGGTAACATTTTGATGAAAAAAGAAGTCAGCTTTATACTGTGTGATAATGCACTGATGACAGAACAAAGTGAGGAAATAATGAGCATGTAACCAAAAACAGGGGTGCTTTTCTTCCCAACAGATGCTAGCCTTGTTGATGAGGGTTTTGAGAATAAACATATTTGGAATCAACGATAACTATAACCTACAATGTCACCTGCATCTATTTCCATTCAGATAATAAGAGTAACATCTGGTAAGAGCACACTACAAACTACTGAGAAGAGCAAAGAACCAACTGCTGTTATAAATGAATGCAAAACATGCTTAATTTCAAAATTTAGATAATTAAAACTGCTAATGACACTCTTTGATGTGGGTCATTTAATTTATTTGAAGTATTATTCATGAGTGGTTAAGTTTATTTTGAATAAATGCCAATCTCATTTTCCATTTAAAAGCTTCAAGCTACAAGATATTTATCCTAATAAACTCTAACATAACATTTGTTCTTCCATGACACACCTACATTTTTCTAGTTTTTTAAAAATATATTTTATTGATTTTTTTACAAAGAGGAAGGGAGAGAGATAGAAACATTGATGAGAGAGAAACATCGATCAGCTGCCTCCTACACACCTCCTACTGGGGATGTGCCCGCAACCAAGGTACATGCCCTTGAATCGAACCTGGGACCTTTCAGTTCGCAGGCCAATGCTCTATCCACTGAGCCAAACGGGTTAGGGCCACACCTACATTTTTTCAGCAATCAGTCCTCTGCATAAATTCTTTAATGGCTTCCCAATAGAATGGTTTTCAATTATTTCAGGAAAGACTAAAGACCCTTCATGATGTGGTCCCGTACCTACTTCAACTCTCTCATCTCCTTTAACTCCTTCCCTTACCCAATGGGCTCTAGTCCTCATGACTCCTCTCTTTCTCCCTGGAGGAGGCCCTGTTAGTACCATCTCAAGCTTGGCTCTTGCTGTTCCCTCTGGCCACCTTCCTCTTCCCCATCGGTTTTGCATCGGTGCAAAAGCCACGTCCTCTGAGAGTCCTTCTTTGACCATGCTAGCTAAAAACACCAGCCTAGCCCACCAAGTTACTATTCTCTGCCCTTTGTTTGCTTTGTGGCACTTAGCACTGCGTGATACCTTATTTATGTATCTGTTCATTGGCCTTATATGTTTTTAGCTGGTCCCCCCTCATCAGAATGTAAGTCCCACTAAGGCAAAGTACTTTGTCTTAATCAGTGCAGCGTTAGTCCTCAGTGCTAAGAACAGCTCTGGCATGTGTAGGTGCCCTCAGATATTTGTTCAATGAATTCACTGCTATCAGTATGAGTCACATAACATTATATAGTTTATTAGTAACTTTCATGTCACAAGAAAAAAAATTCAAAAGCAATGATGTGCATAGCAAAACCTAGCCCTCTGCTGCAATGCTATAAGTCTTTGATAATGAAACCTGTGAGAACATAGATAATGGAGAGAACACAAGAACGGCTTCAAAAGCGAACAGATGGTGCAAGAGGAAGATGAGTGGATGTAGAATCAAATGACAAAGGGATCCTGTTCACATCTGGAAAGTGGAGTAGATATGGCAGATCAATGAAGAATGGAGGGATGAGGGCCAGCCTATATAATAAAAGCCTAATATGCTAAGTATCTGACTGTTCGTTCAACCGTTCGACCAGTTGCTATGATGTGGACTACCAGGGAGCAGACGCTCTGACCTGTAAGTTAGCTCGCTGCTGGGGTCTGGCAGATCGGGACTGGGCGAGACAGGCTGGACACGCCCTAGAGCCCTCTCACAGTCCCTCCCCAGCCCTGATTGTGCACTGGTGGGGTCCCTTGGCCTTGCCTGCACCCTATCACAACCCAGGACCCCTCGGGGGATGTAGGAGAGCTGGTTTCAGCCTGATCCCCGCAGGTCAGGCCGAGGGATCCCAGCGATGCACGAATCCATGCACCGGGCCTCTAGTAAGTCTCATGATAAAGCAACCATCCCCTAGCCCTAGCCGGATAGCTCAGTTGGTTAGAAGATTTCCCAGATACACCAAGGTTTTGGGCTCGATCCCTGGTCAGGGCACAAATAAGGAGCAACCAATGAATGTGTAAAAAAGTGGAACAACAAATTGATGTTTCTCTCTCTCAAATCAACCAACCAACCAATCAATCACTAAAGAAACCATCCTATTGAAATACCACATTTGAATAGAATTGAAAGCAGACTGGAGCAGAAACCACAGGGAAAATTTGGCTTATCTTTGCAACCACAGATGTAGCATATTCTGAAACTGGGTCAGATACTTGCTTTTAAGATCACGGAGTACAATCTCTCTCATTCCTCTACAATAAGGTTACACAAGCAGGTAAAAGGGTTTGTATTCATTCACTTTTCAATGAATCTTAAAGCTATAAAATGCATGAAGAGACAGTGCAATATAGCAGCTGATACAAGAATCTCTTCTACAGCATCTTTGACACATAAAGAAGGCCCAGTCTGAATGCCGTCAGTAACAAGGAGCTCACTTCTTTTTGTCATCTTTAGTTGCTAGCTATTTTTTTCTCATACTACTTCAAAGCTCATTCCCTTCTAAGTGTCTCCAAATGGTACCAAAGGGGAGGCCTTCCTGTCCCACTGTTGTGCCTCTTACTGTTGAAATTGTTCTTGTATCAAACCAAAACTCAGTCTCTCTATTCCTTTAACACACTGGCTCTAGTTCTGTATGTTACAGATTTTCAGATTATGGTACCCAGTATCTTACAATATGTATGCCCTAGCTACCTATGGTCTTCACCTTTTTTGACATTTCTACTCTAATAATACTAACAAGTTACAGATCATTGAACATGCCCTTTTCTGTCCTAACTCAGTATTTCTCCTCCCAGCTTTAAACATTGTTCTCCTTCTGATCAAATGCCTCTCTTACTGATATGCCAGGCAAGCGCTGTCCTCCTTCAAGACCGCTCAGTGGCATCTCCCCGGGAAAGCATCCTCTCGCTGCCTGAGCAGACTCTAGCACTCAGTTACTCTGTTCCCACTGCACCCAACACAAACTTCCATTCACAATCACCTTTACTTGATTTAAAAAATATGCTTAATTAATCCTGACCTTCACCGCACTGGACATTATTCTCCATTATTTTATTTTAAATTCTCTTCTTAATTGGTGGTTAGAGTAATTATTTTGCAATATATTTATTTTGTGCCATGCCATATATATTTAAAGATGGGAATTATGTAGACTCAACTCTTTCTTTTTTAAAAAATTGATTTCAGAGAGGAAGGAGAGGGAGAGATAGAAACATCAATGATGAGAGAGAATCATTGATTGGCTGCCTCCTGCACGCCCCACACTAGGGATTGAGCCCGCAACCCAGGCATGAGACCTTGACCGGAATCGAACCCGGGGCCCTTCAGTGCGCAGGCCGATGCTCTATCCACCAAACCAGCTAGGGCTAGACCAGGGGTGGGCAAAGTTTTTGACTCGAGGGCCACAATGGGTTCTTAAACTGGACCGGAGGGCCGGAACAAAAGCATGGATGGAGTGTTTGTGTGAACTAATATAAATTCAAAGTAAACATCATTACATAAAAGGGTACGGTCTTTTTTTTTTTTTTTTTTTTTTAGTTTTATTCATTTCAAACGGGCTGGATCCGGCCGAGGGCCGTAGTTTGCCCATGGCTGGGCTAGACTCAACTCAATACAGTGCCTGGAGTACAACAGGTATTAAACGTTGAATGATTAGATGGATTTCCAGGAGCAAGTAAATCCACCAATCATAAATTAGTTTACAGCTGCATTCTAAAGTCTCTTATCTACCCAAGCCCCAAATGGGATAACTTAAAAATCTCAAAGCATTTGGGAGGGACAGGTGGAGTATATAGCTAGAGAAAGATGAATGCATGGATGGATGAATGGATGGAAAAATAGAAAGAGCTTGTCTCTGAGGAAATGGGAAGAAGGTAGCATCTCATAAAATAGAAAAGATTAATTAAAACACATTGGTACTGACGTTTAACATGTTACTATTCACTGTAGTATCTGGGTAAATACCAACTCTACTTTTTTTAGCAAAAGAACCTTGTAAGTAGGAAAATCATACCAAAAAAGCTTGTAAATGGGAAATATTAAAATAGTGCAGGATAAATTCTGGATGAAGGGCATTTGTATATTGCTACTAGGTAATCTTACCTAGGAAGTGACATTCTACTTAAAAGGCAGCATGGTACTGGGAGACCTCTATTCTGGGGTGGTAGCTCCCCTCAATGTCCTACAAACTTAAATTTAAGATGAAGAGAGAATTCGAAATGCTTTTCTTCCCACTCCCACCAGTCAAAACAATGTGTCTATGGCAAGTTCTTTTCTACACTGCTTTTAATGAATGCTGTTTTGTTGAATATAACTTTGGTGTTTTTGTTTTTTTTTAAATTCTAACTACTAAAAAAGCTCTAAAAAAATTTACCCCTTGTCTTTTTAAAAAGAACTTTTTGACTATCTTCCTTATCAAAGTAATTTTTCATCTTTGAAATTTACAACTTGGTTTATGTAAATTATACCTTAAAACATCTGGAAAATCATTTCAAGGCATATTATTTAATGTATGACAAGACTCACTATCTATAGTCCATCTGTTCTGTATAAGCAATGACTGTCTTCACGTTTATGTGCTAAGTGTTGATCACTATGTCTCCTGCTAATTATCACTCAGCCATGATGAAAAAGTGATGACTGTTTTAAACTTGCAGACATAGGCCCTATCAATCAACGTTAATCTGATTATTCAATTTACACCTTTTCATCACAGTAAGTATTTAGAATTAAAAACTCAACATTCAACATTTGTAATTATTATTCCATTTTTTAGATCCTTATACAAATAGGAAACAATATCCATCCCTCATGCTGTATTCATGACAGAAACCCGAAAGGGCTGACTGAAATCTGTACGGTAATCTAGTGAAACTTCCCTGCAAATGGTAAAAAGAGAAAACTAATTCTTAGGTGGGTGAGTGAGGTGCCCAAGGCCATAAAACCAATGCCAGGATGAACTGGGAAAGGGACCCAGACTTTATCACCTCTAATTTATTCTGTCTTCCTGCTACAACATCTTTTCTCTCAAGGTTTGCATAAAACATAGAGGACCACCTTGAGTTAGGTAAATTAGACAAAAGAGAGGATTTATCATAACACTCTGAGGTTATATTTTTCTCCTAAAAACTAGGCTAGAAAAAATGTTTAAATATGTAAACTTAAAAACACAAAAAAGGGCCATATTACCATTAGGACTCTTGTTGGTATGATTTAAAAAAATATTTTTATTGATTTCAGAGAGGAAAGGAGGGGAGAGAGAGATAGAAATATCAATGATGAGAGAGAATTATTGATTGGCTGACTCCTGCATGCCCCCTACTGGGGATCGAGCCTGAAACCCAGGCATGTGCCCTGACAGGGATTTGAACCATGACCTCCTGGTTCATAGGTTGATGCTCAACCACTGAGCCACGCCAGCTGGGCTGGTATGATTTTTAACCTTTCCACAGGCTGCCGTTTCCAGGAAGGCCTAAAATGTTTCCAAATTGACTAGTGGAATCATATTGTTCACAAATGCATCTACAGTGGAATTTGGGTAATTGACACAAACCTTGAAGAATGTACTAACACTGGCATTTTGTAACTTAGCAAATGATAACCCTATCATATTATTGATCTAAAAGATGACATTTCAAAGAGATTTAACTTCACATGGATGTGAATAGAACAGATATGTCAAGTTTTGAAATGGGTAAGTAAAAATAGCAAATCTTATCAAAACATTTGATAGTTAGATATAAAATATACACATAAAGCCCAGCTGTTTTTGCTCAGTGGATAGAGCGTCAGCCTGCGGACTGAAGGGTCCCAGGTTCGATTCTGGTCAAGGGCACATGCCCAGGTTGCAGGCTTGATCCCTGGCAGGAGGCATGCAGGAGGCAGCCAATCAATGATTCTCTATTATCATTGATGTTTCTATCTTCCTGTCCCTTACTCTCTCTGAAATCAATAAATATATTTAAAACAAAACAAAACACATAAAACCATCAGAGTGCGAATGCACTCTGTATTCAAGGTATATCTCATGTTATTTGTGAGGAAAAGAGAAACATCTTATTGGTGAAAGTAAAATTAATATTGTCCAACTTGTAATTTCATGTTTTTTCCTTGCATGATACAGATGGAATGACCCATTATTAATAGAAGATAAAAAACACTCCAAACTTTAATTTTCCATGAAATATCAAATCATATTGAAATAAGAGTAATTTTCAAATTTGTAGAAAATAAACTTAAAATATTAAGTAAGAGATGAGAAGACTCATAATAATTATTTCAATCTTATAACGATAAACTATCTGACATCTTTATTGGAACTTTGTTCTAGCACTATTTACTATGAAGTAGAATTAGGTCCTGCTTTCCATCTTGTTTTAAATTTGTTTAACTCCAATTCCCAATAAGTTCAAAAATTAGTTTGGCAGGGGAAATAGATTAGATATAAACAAGTCATTTAAATAAACATGATATCAATGTTGGTAAGAAGGGAGGAAAGCAACATGAATTCTTGTTGATCAAACATGTATGAATTCTGTACTGTGACCTCGGGACTCTGCAGAGCATGGGCTCTTCTGGAAAAAGAGTCATTGGCAACTACAGAACTTACTGAAGAAAGCAGCTTTGTTTGCATCATGTTATGGACAAAATAGGCACCTAACCCATGTACAATAACAGAAGCATGATCGGTTCTCCACAGTCTGCAGTCTACTCTGTTCTGAAAGGAAATCACATATGAAATACAGTTGGCCTTGAAAACAATCTACCGTAGCCAACCAATGTCATGCAACGACATGCTCCAGGGATGGCTCTCAGATACTCAGCTCATCCTGCTTCCGGTCTTGCCTCCTGCCTGCAATGCCCTTCTCCTTTATCTTTATTTCCACCTTCTTCTTTTCTTTTTTTTTTTTTTACAAAGCCTTGTGAGGGCTTTCTAAAATTTTTTTATTAACATATTTTTATTGATTTCAGAGAGGAAAGGAGAGATAGAAATATCGATAAGAGAGAATCACTGATAGGCTGCCTCCTGTATGCCCCACATGTGCCCTGAACAGGAATCAGACCGTGACCTCCTGGTTCATAAGTCAATACTCAACCACTGAGCCACGCCGGCCAGGCCTATCTCCACCTGAATCCCATCCAGCTCGAGCACTACATTATGTTTGCCTGCCATTTCTGGCCTGTGAAGATCCTTTGTTCTCTTTTAGTAGCTTTAGCTCTTTAGCTCTTTTAGGCCATTTTAGCTTTACAGATATCAGCTGCCATGCAAGCACTTTTATAATATTTTATGTATTTTCATGGAGAATTACTTCTCCTCAATGAGCATAAATTTCTTGACAGAAGTGACTGTCATTCATTCATTTAAAAATATTCTCCCATAGTTGTTACCTTAGGTACGTGGAAAATAGTCAATATTTTTGAAATAGTAAATATTTTTGAATAAAATGAGAATATATTTTGGGATAACACACAAAGAACGGTAATATGGATTTATAGCAAAATGTAAACAAAAAGGAGTTAATTATAGATCTTCTGAACAAAATGCTCTTTGAAAACAGAATTAGAAAGTACTAAGCTATGCCCTTTACTTAGTTTACAGATATGATTCTCTTTATCATTATGAAGTTCTTGTTTACTAACAGAAAATCATAACAGCTATACTGACTTACATTGTGTTCATGTTAAACTCACCAATTTGCTTTGTGTTCATCTTGCTATAGGATGGGAAGCTTATGATGGGTACAATTTTCTCTGTCTTTTAAAGATTTTAGTAGGTTATGGTGGGAATGAAGCTAAATTTCATCCTCAAGGCAAATTATAATATATTTTCAAATCCCATGGGTCTTTATATGGTCATTAATTTTATTTTCTAATTAAATTCATATTTTAATTGCTTGAATTTTACTTTTATATATGGGGTATTATTTTTTTTAGTATGCAGTTGATATGCATCTTGTACAAAATCCAATAATTAAAAAACTACTTTTTACTATATCAAAAATTATGTATTCTTAAATAATAATTTTAAAAATTATAACAGTGGGACATTGAAGCTGAGAAGCTTATAATCATGTTAAATGTTATGATAAGGTTTGAATGTTAAATATGAAAGTAAAAGTACTGCATTATAATAACTTAATACAAAGGTCCTCCATTTTACCTTTCATTGTTTGATTGAAGTATGAAGAATAATCAAATTTTTCATTATTATGACTCTGGATTCAAAAATTAATCTCATTCATAGTACCTGGATAAGTTAATGGTAGCTCTCAAGTAAAAAGAATTTGAATGTGCTTGGACAAACTTTCAGGTAAAAACAGGCAAAAATCTGAGCTTTATGAAATACATTTCCAAAGAAAACACTCAACTTACCTCCAGTAGATGAGAATACCCACAAGAACCACTAGACAGATAAAAGTCAGGGCTGACACGATCACAAGGGGTATAACTGCCTTCTTTTCGGATTCCAACCCCTCAGCTAGACCAATACGAGACTCATGGCTACTATTACTGGCCTCTGTAGTCGGAAAAAATGAAGAGAGTTGATATTTAAATTTAAAGGAAAGTTACAACATTTTCAATCAAATAATTGCAATTTTCAATCATAAACAATTGCAAATAATTGCTTACCTTTAAAATTTTGACTCTATGATGCAAAGAATGTTTATCATTATAAGCCAATTTAAGTAAACCAAAATCTAAAAAGAAGGCAGGCAATCAGACCTGAAGAACTATAACATCCTAACAGAGATTGGCTCCCAGGTAGGGGAGCCATGGCAAGAGTGAGCATAATACTGCTTTGAGAAGATTGTTAACAGGGAAATGGAAGTATTAAAATAAGAAGGCTATCCAGCTTTGAAATAAAACAATCAGGAAAACAATGCTACTTACTGAATCACCATATAAAATCTTGATTTTCCAAAATTAATTTTAAAAGAATCATTTTTAGCCCTGCAATTAGGTAAGTAATTAGGAGCAGTTAATCATTTCATTCAAAGAGAATCTTAGGACAACCGTTCTTACATTAAGATAAGTCTTAATGAAGATAACAACGATTGGGGAAAGGAAATGGTGCTCAACAAATGGTGCTGGGAAAACTGGATATCCAAATGCAAAAGTATGAATCTGAACACTTATCTTAACCCCTACACAAATACCAGCTACAATGGATAAAAGATTTAAATATAAGGTCTGAAACTATAAAAATCCTAGAAGAAAACAGGGGAAAATCTCATGACATTGGTCTTGGCAATGATTTCTTAGCTATGACAGCAAAAGCACAAGCAACAAAAGAAAAAATAGACAAGTGGGACTACATCAAAGTAACAATCTTCTGCACAATAAAGGGAACAATAAACAGAGTGAAAGGCAACCCCTAAAATGGGAGAAAATATTTGCAAACCATATAACTGATAAGAGGTTAATATCCAAAATCTATATGGAAATCCTACAACTCAATAGCAACAAACACACACAAATGCACAAACAATCGAAAAACAAAACAAAAAAACAAACATTTGCTTTTAATCTATCTCTTTCTCTATTTCAAATGATTTGGGCAGGTTCTTTTGAATTGTCCTGTAAATTATGATAATTCTGTGAAACACTGTTTCCTTATTAGAAGGAATTTCAGAATGATAATGATAGCTTTCACCTGCCCAGAAGCTGAGAGCCGGTGTGCATTATCAATGTGCTGTAATGAATAAAAGACTGTTCATCTGTAAAAAAAAAAAAAAAAGATAACAACGATTTAAAATTTAAATGCAGGATGCTTTAAAAATGTTATTTTGAATATCCTTCTTAACAAATGTTTCTCTATCAAAAATAAAAATACTACTGCACATGAATGGAAGGACTACATAGATCTAAGAAATTCTTTTCAAATATGCAAATGTAAATTATGAAAAAGGTTAAATTCTCTCCTTGGGTTCATTTTAAAAGGTGACAAGTGAGTATTTTTGTGAGCAAGCAGGCGTGTCATTGTTCTAGCACTTTCAAAATCACTGCACTGGCGCTGCCTTCCAAGTTGTTACAGGCGGTTCAGAACCCAGGGGGTCAGTGGCCAGGCACCATCGTCCCTTCTGCTCTGAGGTGTGTGCAGTGGGAGACAAAGGCGCCTGAACAGAACTGTTCTACCACAATGACACGCTGACAGCACCACCTGTCTGCCCGGAGGAGCTTAGAAAGAACTACATTTACTTTCTCCAGGAGAGTCTCCATCGCTTCCTACACAAATGGCACATCTGGTGCTGCTACACTAAGTACCTTACCATTAGTGACATGAGACAAAGGGATTCAATGGAAATTGAAATGTTTTGAGAGTGATATACATTCATAAGCAAAATATAGCTAATGCAGAGAACTTAAGATGTAAAATGATAGCTTCCTTCTGTAACTGGATGATGCAAAAAGGGCCAAAATTTTCATCTACTCACACAGATCCAAGGCATAGAAATGATACTCAAGTTTCCCAAAATGTTTGTTCTTACAATTTATAAATGCATTTTCTAAAAAAAATAAAAATAGTGGAATTCAAGGATGTGCCTAAAAATCATAAAATGGAAAAGTGGAAATATTATAAGTCAATTGACACTTGCGCTGTAGTTAATATTCTGTGAGAGAAGCCCACGTTTACTTTCTACTTCGTTAACCATGTGCTCTGGCAGTTACGTATATGGAGAGGCTCATTTAGAAAATGAATTAATTTGATGATGAATCCTTTACAATATCTCTATGAAATTTAAAAAGCACCTTATTTTATTGTCTTTACATTTTTTTCTGTTGTAACTATGATGGTCTAAATGGAAAATCTGTGGGTAATAAATTAAACCACCATTTAGCAAAGTTCCTGATACCTAGTAATTACAAAGGGTGGTTAATACTATCTGTGTCTGTTATTCTCAAAGTGCAGTCCTTAGTGGCATTGGATCCCCTGAAATTTGTTAAAAATGCAAGTTTGGGGCCTACCCCTACATTTACTGAAACTCAATGGTGCCCTGGCCGGGTAGTTCAGTTGGTTAGAGTGTCGTCCTGATATGCCAAGGTTGCAGGTTCAGTCTCCAATCAGGGCATAAAAGAGTCAACCTGGAGAGCACTCTGCTAAGCGAAATAAGCCAGTCGGAGAAAGATAAGTATCACCTGATCTCACTCATTTGTGGAATATATTGAACAATGTAAACTGATGGACAACATAGATCCAGAGATATAGAAGCAGCGAACAGACCATCAAACCTCAGAGGGAAGGCAGGGGAAAGTGGGAGGGGGGTGGTAAGAGATCAACCAAAGGACTTGCATGCATATAAGCATAACCAATGGACACAGACAATAGGGGGGTGAGGGCCTGTGCTGGGGGGCAGGAGCAGGCTGGGAGAGGTCAATGGGCAAGAAAGGAGACATATGTAATATTTTCAACAATAAAGAATTAAAAAAGACCCACAAATAACCAGCGAGGGGAGAGGGGGAAAGAATCAACCAATAAATGTGTAAATAAGTGGAACAAGTCAATGATTTGCTCTCTCTCTCTCTGAAAATTAATAATAATAAAAAAGACACTGTGGGTAAGGCCCTGAAATCTGTGTTTAACAAGTCCTCCAGGTAATTCTGGTTCACATTAAAGTTTGAGAATCAATGATGTACATTAATTACATACAAAGTGAGCTTATATAATTACAGAGGTCTTCAATGACTACAAATATTCATAACAATATGCATATAAACATATATAGATACATACATCTCATTTATATATATGCATGTGCAACATATATGAGGTATGTATGATCATATATGTGCTATATAAGATACATAACACATAAAATGCATAACAAATTACCATATATACCATACACACTATGTACACACACTATCCATACACATGTGCACAAATATAGTCTTGTATACAAACTTTCTCTTAAGTTTTCTGAGAGGTCTGATTTTAAATAAAACCTTTAATTGAGGAGTTAGAATTATAACTCCATAATAATTAATTACATATTATGAAATCTAGGTATTTTGTTCAAGGTGGGATACTACAGGACAATGCACACAATCAACTGACTGCATTGCATATTATAAGGACAACTAGTTGTATTGATTTTTATATTCATTAGTTGAAACTAAAATATTAATTTTGATATAAGCTCAGTTGTATATATAACTTACCTAAATGATAAGACAAGAATCTACTGATAGACAATTAGAAAATAAAAAAACTAAGATTAATATTTTAAAGTACCTTTTCAGAATAAAACATTATAATTCTGGCATTACAAACTAAGCATTATATACATATTTTATTATCTACAATCTTGAAAGCCTAGTCCTAAGATCATAGACACCAATAACTCAGGTTTTCAGTCTCAGTTTTGTATTAACTCCCTAACTGACCTGGATCAGATAACCTAATATCTCTGGGTCTAGGTTTATGCAGTCATAAACTGCAGATATTAATATTTGGCTTACCTATATTATTTTGAAAAACATGTCTTATAAGTTATTCTACCTTTAAAGATACATAATCAAATTATGATTTTCAGAATTAGTCTATAGGCATTTGACAAAGACGCATATTCACTTATTTGATAAGACATACTATGTATTATTTTTTTTTACAGATATAGGTTTAAAAACAAGCCATAATTTCCCTAATCTTGTTTTACTTTATTTACTTCATTAATTGTTATTTGATGATGTTGGATGCTATATTCATGTTGTTTTCTCCTCATCAGTGGGAAAACATACTCTTAATAATTTGATAAATCTAGTAAGATTTATTGAAGAGAAATTGCTAAATTTTAGTCAATAATTCTAGATTTGGTATTTCCCTATATATATTGTCTTTCCATAAAAGCATAATCTAGCAAGAATATCTCAATGATGTCACTGCCCAGAAAGACAGAAAAATAGATTGATTCCTGATATTTTCCTCTAAAATGCATCTGATAAACATTTAAAAAATGTACTATAATTGGAGCCATAGCACCGGATATATATATATAGATAGATAGATAGATAGATAGATAGATAGATAGATAGATAGCAATACTAGTGAATATGGTGACCTATGGGTTCATTATTTATTCTCACATAGAGTTTAAGTTTTTAAATTGGAATGCAATGTTAAATAGTATCAAGTCAGAATACTTAGACAACTTCTCTATCAAAATGTACAAACTTTTAATTGCTGCTATACTGAAAGAACAGCATACAATTGAAGGGAATACAAATAATGAAAGAGAAAAAATGTCACAAGGGATTAGTGTCTATGTTCTGGATTATAAATATTCACTTTTATGCAATAATACTGAAAGATGTTACTCTAGCCTGTCTTTTAATTTACTGTTAGATTTAAGTATGTTCATTGTTAATTTAAAAAATGTTTTAAAATTGAATAAAAGCAAATTATAAAATCCTTATGATCAATTCAATAAAATTATCTAGTATTCTGTGTGGTTAATGGTATTGAATTTCCCTTTTTTCTCACTGGCATTTGAAGCAAACATGCTGTAAATAATCTGCTCTAAGAAACATCTGGCCAAAAAACTAATTTGCATAAAATCCATTAATAAATGAAATGCATTTCTACAGAAAGTGTTCTAACATTTTACATCTTGTCATACAAAACCTATACATACACTGCATATTAATGCCCATTATTTAACTTCTTAGAAAGGTGTATAACAAGTACAAAGTAGACTGTGCTTTGTTAGTTTATACTGCCCTCTTTAGGCAACATTAAGATAATCAAACAAAGACAATTTTAAAAAATTAAAACCTTGTTTTTAAAAAAAGCTTATCATTCACTCTCAAAAGTTAGCAACAGGACTTTTTTATAAAGCTCCCCAAGCTGATGTGGCGCAAATTATGTAACTCCTTTTCATGGAGCAGGTCAGAAAAAGGTGCTTATATCATATTACTCTCAGAACTTATAATTCATTTTTTGAATTCAATAGAACTCATTTACACCTTATTTTAGAACATGAGTAAATAGGAAAATTAAAATAATCTAAAAATAGCAACACTTTAAGCTATCATTTAAAAAGCATATAGTAAAAATATATTATGCACACATAATTGCTCCCACATACAAGAGGCATCCTGTAGAACATGAAAAACTGACAATAAATAAAAGTCACTTTCTCTCTTTTGCAGAGAATTAAAGACCAAAACAAACAAAACAGAAACAGACTCAGATTCAGAGAACAAACTGTGATGGCTGCTGGGAGTTGGGGTGGGGAAATGGGGCAATGACTGAAAAAGGTGAAGGGGAACAGGAGGGACAACTTCCAGTTATAAAATAGATAAGGCCCAGGGATGTAGTGTACAGCATAGGAAATAGAGTCCATAATAGCATAATAATTTTGCACTGACAGATGGTTAATAGACTTGTCATGGTGAACACATCATAAGGTATATCAATGTTGAATCCCTATGTTGTACACCTAAAACTAATACAACATGGTATGCCAACAATATTTTCATAAAAAGCAAAAAAAAAAACCCACCCACATAGTGAGTATTCATTTGAGGTAATGAATAAAATCATCCTCTAAAAACCGTAAATTGATTTGAAGTTTTGGTTAAAAACCGATGCATCATTTTACCAACTTTCTATGTTTTCATGACTTTTCTATTTTTTGAGGAAGAAAACCCCCAGCCTCCGATCCTATCCCTTTGATGCACCACTAACCTGCCTCTGAAATGCTGACCACTTCTGAGTGCCTGCTAGCAACAGTCGGTGCTGAGGACTGTGGGGATCCAGGAGTTATTCCTGAGTCACCTGCTTCCAGGACCCCGGCCACAGCGCTTTCATTAACATCTGGAAAACTGAACGCTGTGGCGGTCTCGTTCTCAGTAAGACTACCTGAGACACTTTGCCCTGATCCGCTCTCTTCGTCCCCTGTGAGAACTGCCCATGCTGCAGATGCCGGGGGGAAAGGAAGCCGGGCCTCGGCAGTCTGAAGGTCACTGTCCTGTTTCCCATCACTGTGCTTTTGGGAGAGCACATGTGTTGATGGTGATTTATTAGGACTTCTGTCCATATAAGTCTGACTTTCTGAGGTCACAACTGTGACTTTACTTTCTTCTCCAGACTTCTCAGACAGGGAGTATGATATTGGGTTATTCTGATCCACAAGACTGTTTTCCTTGGGGTCTGAACCAATCATCACCTTTTCCTGGGATTCTCTATAGACGGAGCAGGACATACACTTATTTACAGCTAAGCCATCTCTATCTCTGTCGTCGTCATCATCATCATCACCACCACCACCCACTAACTCAGCATCAGATCTGGCACTGTGAGTCAGCTCAGAAATTGTTTTAGAAGGAAACAGCAACTTGGTTGTGGCAACAGAACCATCTTTGTTGGGAAAAGCGGCTGGAATAGAAACATACGCATTCCCGAGAGGGACAGAATGACCAGCAGTTAAAAGTGTATCAGAAACAACTGCTGGAATACCAGCCAATACCTCCTCAGTAATGGAACCCTTGGTGGAGGTGAAGGCTTCACCAGGATATACAAACTCATTTAAAAGTGTATTGGGAGGTACATCCATCGATAAAACAGGAGTAGCAAATGCCTGCCTTCCTTTCGGGGGAAAGGCATGGTTAAGCTCCAAACGGGCAGTTTGGAAGAACTTATCATTACTGAACAATGAAGGTACCACTTGCTGGGAACTTTCGCTTTTAAGCAAGACTGGTTCAACATCTTTCTTATTTGCATAAGAAATGGTTACACTTTGAAGTGAGGCAGCAGGCATATTAGAAGCAGGTGATACACCAAAAACTGGCACAGATGTGGAGTGTAGCATGCTTTCACTTGAAGCAGAACTGGATGCCATGGGATGCAATATTGTAGGACTAATGTGCTCAACCCTGGGGGAGGCAGCCGATATTGGACCGCTAGGCACAGCCGAAAGAGCAGTTTTAAGCAACGTGTCAACATCAGAAGCCTGAAAGGAAGGTTGCAGCGATACTTCAGGGTTAAAAGAAGCGGAGGCCTCATAAAATAAGAGTTGAGTCGAAGGAGATAATGTTTCACTAGAAGCGGGGTCAGAGGGCGCTGGCTCTGAGTCTGCGCTAAGCACAGGTGTAAGAGAAGGATCGCCGGCTGCTTGAGATACGGCAAGTGTAGGTTGAACTGAGAAGTTATTTTCTGGAGGTTGACTAATCTCATGATCAAAAACCTTAGTGGTAGTATAAGCAAGAGAGCCTGGAGGTATGCCCTTTGTGTTAGAAATGGAAACAGGGGACTCCTGTAAAGATGCATTCAACTTATTTACATTACTGTACAGGCCGGGCGTGACTGTGCCTTCAGGACGGGAACCCATCTCAGTGAAAGGAGACATGTGCAGTTCAGTCTGATTTCCATCTCCTACATCCCTTTGAGAGAGCGGCTTATCATCATCATCACCAAGCACAGATATCGTATATGTAAATTCAGCGACAGAAACAGGCGGAGAAATGTTAAGGGCTGTCAGACCATCTGGGTCAGGGGAAAGCCACTCACTATCAGAGGAGGCTCCAGACCACTCCCCATCACCAGAGAGGCCGTGAGTGGGCTGCAGCCACGGTGCGGTGGGGGATATTAACGAAGGCCGCGGCATGGGTGTGTGGCTAGGACCGCTAAGGAAGGAACCCCGAGAAGACACACCGACAGAATCATGCACAGGGACTGCAGAACCATAAGAAACAGTGAAGAGGTGTTGGGAGGCCTCGGCATGAGACAAGGCAGAGGAAGGCTCGGGCCCCGAAGAACGTGCATGCATGGTGACATCACTGCCGGCTGGCTCAGCTGGAGGAGACAGGCGCGCTTTATGAAGGACGCCAGCGTCACTACCACCGAATTCCAACGTCTCTGAAGCAGCATGAGGCGTGGCCTGATGTGCCATCACAGGAGAGGACTGGGCCAGGCTGGGCGCTAACAGGACATGGCCCCCGGCCACTGGCAGAGAAGCATGCAGGGACCCCTGGGCACGCTCCCCAGCGGAGGTCACTGGTGGGAGGATCTGAGAAGCCGTGTACAGATGGCGAAACCATTCACTACTGAAGGAAGCAGAGGAAAATGGAAGCAGAGGTGCACCATCAGAGGAAGACAGGATGGAGTCGAATGACACAGGGACACTGGGAGACACAGGCGTCGCATGCAAGGCCGGATCACTACTCGAAGCGGCAGGGGGAGTGTCGAGGACCGGATGGCCAAGCAACACAGGGGTGACTAGAGGAAAGGCGCCACTACTGGAGGGAGGCTGAAGAGGTGTCTCACCATTGTACACGGGCTGCGTGGTCTGCGAATAGACCACGTTGACAGTGGGCACCGAATCCCGTTTCCCAGAGGACGGAGTGAAAGCGCGAGGTGTTACCTCGGTGGGGAAGAAGGCAAAGGAAGAAGAAGGTGGCATTTCCATATCTGTGACCGAGGGGCCCTGGGGCACCCACGGGCCTGGAGAAGAGGACTCGGCTGTCTTCTCAGATGCGTCCACATGTCTCTCGGTGGGATGAGTCGGGAGGAGGCCCTCGCCACCTGATCCAACATCGGGCTGTGTCCTCCCGTCCGTGGGGCCAGGAAACCACACACTTCCCTCCCCGGAAGGGTCTTTGAGGGATTCTTCTGAACCCGACGATGCTGACTCTTCGGAAACATTTCTCGTCGGTGCTGGGATAAGGACATCATAGGTGATGGCCTCTGGGTTTTCTGAAGAAAATTCGTACCCGTGGGCTATGTTCTCGGAGGTGAACGGCCCAGCAGCAGTGGTGGGACTGGAGCCTGAAGAATCATCGGCTCCCGGGTCGAGCTTGACACTGGTGAGTAAATTCTCTTCGTCACTGAGATCAGTAGATACCTCTTGAGATTCCATTACAGAAGCTGTGCTTAGAGATTCCACAGTCCCAGACACGTTCCCCTGTGGAAATCTGAGGACAGTTTTAGAGGCTGAAGTGCCTTCCAGAGTGAGAAGTGGAGGTTTGGTCACAGCCCGTGATGTCAAAGAGACATCTTTTTCTGGGGCTAATGCAGTGACTGGTCGGGAAGTGGGATCTAGAGACGTGTTGGGAATATCACCCTTTCCAGAGAAGTCCCCTCCTCGGTTAGTCTTGGCCTCGTTGAATTTAGTCCCTATGCGATGGTAGTTTGTTGTGGTAGAACTCTGGGGTTCCTTTCTCCTTATTTGGTTTGTGGCACTGTCTCTACCAGGATTCACAGGCGTGTCTTCTTCCTCTTCTTCCTCCTTTGAAAAGCAAACAAGATTTAGTGGAACATAAGGAAATAAGAGAACAGCTACATCTCAATAATATCTTATACTGCAGTATACTGGTAATCTTCATTCGTGGGATCTTGGGGACTTCCCATAAAGCACCATTCCAGAGAAAGCCTTCTCATCTCATGGCACACAAAAACTAATTGCTAAAATTCTGCTACCCACCAAAAAATATATTATATTTTTTCCTATCTGCCGAAACAATGAGGTATAATTTTATTTTATTCACACCAGATGGTTATTGTGTTGGCTGTTGTCATTTTTTTTCAAATATGTTTTTTCTTTTTTATTCAGAGAGAAGAAGGGAGAGGGAGAGAATAGAAACATCAGTGATGAGAATCATTGATCGGCTGCCTTCTGCCCGCCCCCTACTGGAGATTGAGTGGCAACCTGGGCATGTGCCCTGACTGGGAATCAAACAGTGACCTCCTGGTTCATAGGTTGATGCTCAACCACTGAGCCACACCAGCCGGGATGTTGCCATTTTTTTATTTGACAATCTAAGGCAGCGTTTCTCAACCCGTGGGTCGCGAACAATGAAAATACATCCTGCATATCAGATATTTATATTATGATTCATAACAGTAGCAAAATTACAGTTATGAAGTAGCAATGAAAATAATTTTATGTTGGGGGTCACCACAACATGAGGAACTGTATTAAAGGGTGGCGGCATTAGGAAGGTTGAGAACCACTGAAGGGAAAAGAGGTCAGTGCCTCTAATTAAACAGTCAGGTATCGCATGTTTTAAAGTGTTCCAGCACATGGGTTGAAAATCGCTGCTCTATCCTATAACCTTTATCATCCACCCTTTAGAGCAGTGGTTCTCAACCTTCTGGCCCTTTAAATACAGTTCCTCATGTTGTGACCAAACCATAAAATTATTTTCGTTGCTACTTTATAACTGCAATGTTGCTACTGTTATGATTGTAATGTAAATATCTGATATGCAGGATGGTCTTAGGCGACCCCCGTGAAAGGGTCGTTCCACTGCCAAAGGGGTCGCGACCCACAGGTTGAGAACTGCTGCTCTAGAGAGAGTAATTAAATTTAATGAAAACATCCTATTTATGGCTGCCTTTATTTTAATGCTACGTAATGAAGTAATTAAATTAATAGATACCACAGCTTTGAAAGGAAGACACATTGTAGTTACTGGGAGTGTTATTTAACATAGTATTTATTATTTTTTGTTTCTCTGTTCAGTGCATCTGACAACAAACTAAATAGGAATTAGCTTTTTGTAATATGAAATGTCAATGAAACAACTAATTTCAAAGACCAAAGTAGTTGCACATTCAGCATATTTCATTGTATATATTAAGAATAAATCATAATTTTTAAGACCTCATAATAGAAAGAGGTTTTTTTTATTTTTCATTTTGTTTGAAATACTTTCCACTTAAGACTTAGGCAGACATTTTAGAGACAGCTTGTCAAAATACATTTCTAGTACTAGTTAGTTATTTTGTGTTTCCTTTGGAAACACCGTTCAGGTGACCCAGCCTTTCATGACCACTTAGTCACTATAATGACCCACGAACAATCTAGCGAGAGGTCAACCAAGACCCATAATTTCTGGTGTTGATTTGCCTTTTTAAAAAACCTGTTCAGCCCTAACCGGTTTGGCTCAGTGGATAGAGCATCAACCTGCGGACTCCAGGGTCCCAGGTTCGATTACAGTCAGGGGCATGTACCTTGGTTGCGGGCACATCCCCAGTGGGGAGTGTGCAAGAGGCAGCTGAATCGATGTTTCTCTCTCACTGATGTTTCTAACTCTCTATCCCTTTCCCTTCCTCTCTGTAAAAAATCAATAAAATATATTAAAAAATAAAAAACCTGTTCATTTTATAACATGTCTAATTATATATTTAGAAACAAAACTGCCAAAGGTATCAAAATATGATATTTTTAGCCCATATGAGATATGATTTGTCTGTTTGTTAGCATTGTCATCTATTAGATCTTTCAGGGCCATGTCCTTTAAAAGAAGAAAAAAGTGACTCAGTATGAATTAATCAGTAGAACTTGACCAATATCAATAGATAATATCTGAATCTTAAACCATGTGTGTACATGATCATGTATCTCTTACACATGAAAAGCTGCATTGGTTTTCACGCTTAACTATTCAGAACTTAATTCTTTTGATTTTAAGTATTTTCTAAGACAAATATATGACAATTGTGAGAAGTATTTCAGCTTTAATGATCTAGATTGTATTGATGCTAAAAATAAATATTCTCTTAGATCCCCTAAACCAGTGGTCGGCAAACTGGGGCCCAGCAAAACGTGGCTCGCAAGCCCCTTCAGTGTGGCTCTTCCACAAAATACCGGCTCTTTCACAAAATACTGACTTCTGCGCATGGGCCACGAAGTTTCAATCGCACTGTACGTGTGCGCCCACATGTGGTATATTGTGGAAGAGCCACACTCAAGGGGCCAAAGAGCTGCATGTGGCTCGCAAGCCGCGGTTTGCCGACCATGGGCCTAGACAAATTGCCTCACCAGTGGTCAGTATTTCTTCATGAAATTTTGCATTGTTTAATATCTTGTTCATAAGGACAACCCAAGTGCTTTCACCAAATAATTTTCCTGAATAAAATACTCACTTAATTTACAAGCCCCAACACCTCATAAAAAAGGAAATGAGAAGAGATTGCCTTGACTCACTCTCGGGGAAAATTTGTTGGTGCCAGATATCTCTGCTTTCCCTAGAAGTTCTTACCCATTTGTTTTGTAATCTGATTGAAAGTTTTGCTGAGGATCAGTGCTAAGTTTAACAACATGGATTTTCTCAACTCTTCCTCATTTTTGCAAATCTGGATTTGTGCCTAGTTTCTGTATCACTCCATGTTCTTATCCTCTGCCAAGACTCTGTCAAACTTTTTTCTGCTCTATTCAAACCCGTTTTCCTCTCCTCATCCTTCATTCACAGCAGATGACCTTACTGTTTATGGGGAAAATAGAAGCCATAGACAAACACATACCTCCTCCTAACACTAAAACAACCAAAACAGGGACCTACCAACTCCACCCTCGCTAATTAACTTCTAGTTATTATTCCACCCTCTCCTCCCCTCTCAACCAAAGTTCCCAAAAGACATCATCTATATTCTCTATATGATCTAACAATTTCTACCAAATCCCACAATAACATTGCTTTTCTTTCTCTGCTTATACAAACACACTTTATTATCTTCCTTCCATAAGCTCTGTAGATTTCTATGAAATTTTTCTTAAAACATAATGCTACACACCTTCTTCTTCTGTTAAATCTGGAAAAATTACTATATGCGCGTAGATACACACTTCCCTTCTATTTTTATCTTTTCTAGCAGATTTTAGACTTTATGAAGTTCAGATACCTCCCAGAATCTGATGAAGGTGATGGATCATTTATTAATCCTACCCATCAAATCTTGCAAATCTCTATGAGGCCATACTGCCTTTTGTCAGCATTTGAAGGAGAATATGTAAGTCATGCTCTATGATTATACATATGTGAAACTACAAATATTTTAATGGGTACTTCTTCCTATAATTTCTTATGGAGTTATTGTGAATCTCTCTTCCACTATGGTTTTGATCTGTGCCACCCCTGTTATCCTTTACAACTTCCATTTTTCAAAAATCATTGGAAAGCCTTGATTATGCTGGAGATACTTTGTCTTTCAAAGTCATACAATTCTATTTAAAGAGGATCTGAGGAACATCCCCAAACTATTCATTTCCATATTCAGGCTTAAACCCACTACAAATACATTCCAGATATTCACCAATCTCTATCATTCATGCCTGCATGAATCAATGAAAGTGGACAGTGTTATGGACTGAATGTTTGTGCCCACCCCTCCCAACTCATCTGTTGAAATTCTACCCTCCCAATGTGATGGCATTAGGAGGTGGGGGTCTTGGGGAGGTAATTAAAATTAGGTTTTAAGGGGAACCCCGTGAGTGGGATCAGTGCCTTTGTAAGAGTCATGGGAGAGCTTGCTTCTTCTGCTCTGCTCTCTACCATGTGGAGAAGCGCACAGCCTGCACCCAGAAGGCCCTCTCCAGAACCTGATCGTGCTGGCACCTTAATCTCAGACTCCCAGGTTCCAGGACTGTGAGAGATAAATTTTTGTTGTTTAGAAGCTATCCTGTTTACGGTATTTTGCTATAGCAGTCTGGACTAAGACACAAACTAAAGATTTGAATTTACAGTGTAAAAATATTTTCTTTTTCCTGCCTTTGGCTTGATTCTGGTGATAATTTCTAGGTACATACATATCCATGCACATGTGCACATAAGCATGCAGGCACGCACACTCACAGAAAGATACCCTTAGCTGAATTCTATGAACTCTTGTTAATAGATGAACTGGCTATTTTGGTAAAATAATCCTTTGCAAGAGAGAATTGCTGTAAGTTATATAAAGTATTGAGGTAATTATACATGTAAAACACAACCCAACTGCTACTTATTGCTAGATAATAGCATTAGTTATCACACTTTATGATCTCATACATATATATGTACATATACACACATCCATACTACATTAACAACAGCATCTGGATTTAAATATATAATCTCAGTTAAGATGAATAGTGCATTTGGGTTTATATATTAGATACATCAGTCAGTTTCTCTATCTTTTAAAAATTAAGACAATGTTAATATGTATAAATATTTTTAATTACCCTTTTACTTGAAGAACAAACATTATCGTCTGAATAGTCCAAACACAAATATTCAAATTAAATGGGCAAAAAAAAATATATTCAATATATATTTTGGCCCATATTTATTATCAATCTATTAATCATTAGTTAAGTTAAATAAACTGTAGTAATATTAAGAATTGATAAAAAAAATAAAAAAGTAAAAATGCACCTGGAAAAAAGAGAATTGATATTATTTTAGTCTTTCTGAAAAATTTGACAGTGAAAAATTTCTGATTTATAGCTATAGTTCATAGCCATAATTATTTTTAAGATTCATTTTTCATTATCACCAAATCTTTGTATCTCTATTATTTTTATTATACTCATTAAAGTGTCTTCTAAGTTCTTCATATAAAAATTATGTATACCAATTATAGGACTATCTATAAAGCTCATCAAGAAACCCTACAAAAACTAATGCAACACAAATTTTTGTTAATGGAATATCTGAAACCTAATGAACAATTCATAATAGACTTTTAAAGTTTAAAACATTTGAATATAAAATATAGCTATGATACCTTGATTATTTCTTCAGTTCCAATTAATTCAGGAAAGAGGTCAAGTTCTACAAAATTAAAAACAAAATTATTAAAATTTTTATTCAACTATTTTAGCCATGTGGGTTTACCTTTGGATGGAAAGAGAAAAAAGACAAAAAAGACTTGTTAGCTTTGAAAATACAGAATCTGTTCAAATAAAAATTTTGAATTTCAGTTTTCAACACTATATAACACAACACTACATACACCTGTATGAATCCAATCCAACTCCCTTCCCCATTCCCACCCCAGTGTGATTGAAGCTAAGAAGGAAGAGGGGGGCAGTGAGGCTGATGTTTATTTGATAAAAAAAATCAAATAATTTTCATCAGTACAGACTTACTTTCAACCTTTGCAGAGCTGATGAAAGCATAGTTGGGGAAATGACAGAGGTTTGGGGGAGAAGTAACAGGACTTACTTTCTCATTCAGCTACTATTCCTTAAGTTCATCTTCTGACTAAGGGTCAACTGCTTCTTTTAATTCTTCAGATTTGTGCTCATAACGAATTGTTCACGGGTGCTGCCCCAGGTAAAATGGAGAGTGTTTTCTAGCAGGTCCGGTCTGGGCTGGTGTTCCCTGCCTCCTCCCCAGGGAAACTCAGCTAATGCTGCCCATCCAAAGACTGTAATGACCAGGATCATTTAAGTCCATTTTCCAACAGACTAGAATCAGCATATTCATGAACATATGAATCCTAAAACAAGATCTGTCACTAAATATTAGAAAAGGTTAGGAGCTGACTCTCTCTCCCCAGCAAGGAACCTAGCCCCACTGCCAAATTACTGGGGGACAGAGGATTCCTGCTCACTCTCCATCTGAGCTGCCTAGGGAGACAGGCTAACTGTGAGGGTGCGAGTAATATTACAACGAGGTTCCTCTTATTGCTCTTATTTTATAAAATCTCACTCCATTGCCAAAGTTTATGCTCTTCACTATCCCCATGCTGTTTATGTTCTGTTTTATTCCTCTCTATAGCCTCAAAGGAAATGAAAGTTCTATAGAATCTTCAAAGGCATGACTGAACTAACAATAAATGTTTCTCAAACCCAGGCCCGTTTTATAACATAGATTTTCTTGAGTTGATTTTTATCAGGAAATTTCTAGCTGTTCAGAAATGTAAAACCATAAGATACAGTGGTATCCATGAATTTCAGATAAAATTAATACTCTTTACTATTTAGCTATTTCAAAGTTACTTACCCTGAACAATTTTCTGTGCTGTAAAAATGAAAATATTCCCTGAGGACAAGTCTTGAATTTTAACTCTCAATGTTTTTTCTTTTTTTTTTTTTAAATATATTTCTTTATTGATTTCAGAGAGAAAGGGAGAAGGAGAGAGAGATAGAAACATCAATGATGAGAGAGAATCATTGATCGGCTGCCTCCTGCACACCCTCCACTGGGGATCAAGCCCGCAACCCAGGCATGTGCCCTTGGCCGGAATCGAACCTGGGACCCTTCAGTCCGCAGGCCGACGCTCTATCCACTGAGCCAAGCCGGCCAGGGCTCAATGTTTTTTCTTATTAAAACTGACCAAAACTGAATGAGTTTGAATGTTTGGATTATTACTGGTCTCTCTTTTCTATATTTGTTTCTATGAAACCCCTCTTTCACCATGTTTTTCATGCTCTTTATTCCTTAGGTTACCAAATGAAAGTGATTTCAATAGTCTGAAACAATTGTGTCTCTATAATCGCCAAGGAAAGCAGTAAACACTACCTGTGAATGTAAAGTGGGAGGCAACTAAACTGTGAGAGACACATAACAATTTCAATATGACTTTGTCAAAACTGCAATTTTAAGAAGATCATGCATGTATAATCTTCAAATTCAGCAGTAAGACAATTCAAAATTTTACTGACAATGCTTTCAAATGCAGTCACTCCTTTTCGTGGACTTTTAAAATACTTTAATGTTAACAAGGGCAAATCATAATCAAATACTTGGTGATACATATATTATACTGTTGCTGTTTCTCTGTTAAGAAGCTAGGAGCAAAAACCTCAAAGACATGCTTAAAGAAGTGTTAAAAAAAATTTTTTTAAAAAGGTCTAACTTCACCTAACTCTTTACTTGTAATGGGTAAAGGTAATTTTCTTATTCATTGTCAGGGTTGGGGGAGGGTATACATAATGATCACATCGAAGACGGACTTTCTTCTCTTTCAATATTCTCTGTGTTAACTGCATTTATTTGCATCATTTTGCCAGAGTACAAATTAACTATATGGATTATGGATCCTAAAAAGTTAAAATACATAATCTTACCCAAATATATCCCTAAAGTATCAGTAAGTTCTACTCTGTGTTTGCTGTTTACTGCATTAAGAAGTAAGAAGTTCTGCCTGAACAGTGTTGCTCAATGGTTGAGCATTGACCTATGAATCAGGAAGTCATGGTTCAATTCCTGGTCAGGGCACATGCCTGGGTTGCAGGCTCGATCTCCAGTGCGGGAGGCAGCTCATCAATGATTCTCTCTCATCATTCATGTTTCTATCTCTCTCTCCCTCTCCCTTCCTCTCTGAAATCAATAAAATATATTTTTAAAAAAAGGAAGTAAGAAGTTCTCTTTGGCCCTAGGGGCAGCATGTAGGCACCCACACAGCCCTTTGATCCCTTTCTGTTTCAAGGCACTCTTATGGGTGAATACCCCACATGTGGGCCTTCATATTGGTAAGTATATATACTAGTACACACTTTGAAAGACCATAATTCTGGTTTCCTATTAAACTCAGATCATTTTAATTAACTGAAATTCTGGGGTTACCCAGCAACACGTCAACACCCCCTCCAAATAATCCAAAAGTATTTTTTTGCTAATCTCTTGAGAAAAATTTTGAAATAAAATAATTTGGGGAGACAGTTTCTATCATCCTGGAGATTCGGAAGTCAGACTTCTGGGTGTGAAAGTTCATAGCAGCCAAGGTCAAACTCTAGTGATTGGCACAAGGTCTCACATTGGGTACCCTTTGGCCTGCTGTTTCCTCACAAATAATAATTGATGTTTTAGTAGCTACTGGCCTGACTCAGTTACTACAATCATATATGATAGTGAAAACAATTACGCTTCTTTGCAGAATCTTCTCACTTCATCGAAATAGATTCCATGAGGGCGGTAAAAGTCCAACAGCCAAGATTGTCAGTATTTTTTTTTTTTTAGTGAATATTTAAAATTCATGTTTGCGTGATAACTGAACAAAAGCTCTTGACTCATTCTGGTTTTGGTTTTGGGCACTTAGATGCCAGATTTTCTAAAAGAGCTTGTTAGTTACACATTAATATTCCATAACACACAAAAAAAGCAACACTAGTATAGGGTGGCAAGCAAGACTTATTTAATTGTTTGAAGGTAAGCCAAGTTTCACAGTGCAAAAGGTGAAAGCAATGTGGACTGCGATCTCTTCAAACTGTGATATGATATGATATGATATTAAACAGCCATAGCATAGGATGGTACAGGCAGGGTAAGGACAGATGTAGAGTGATTTAACAAAGACAATTGTTACACAACTGAAAAGCACACAATAACAGAAAACTGTGTTGATTTAATTCACCATGCATTTAAATTGAACGCATAATTACCAAGGCCCTAAAACATGTGCCTACATAATGTCTCCATAAATGTATAGTAATTAGCTCTACATCATAGAAAAGAAACAAACACAATTATGTCAGTTACAATAGAAACAATATTTACGAATTATTTATTTATAAGTATAATTTTCTGCAAAGTATTTGAAAAGAATGTTCTTTCTGTTTAACCTTAAAAAGTTTTCCTTGACAAAGTTAAATTGTTTATGAATATGAATTTATCCATTTATTTTAAAACAGCAGATTCTAATAATATTTAATGGCTACTAGTGTATGGTAATACTGTTGTACACAATAAATATAATTTAATGCAAAAGCAATAACTTAAATCAAAGGAGCCAAAGTTAAATGCACAGTTTGGAAGACTGAGGTTTCCTTCACAGATATTGATCAAATATTTGAAATCTTTGATTGAAAGAATAAGGGCAATTATAAATGACCTCCTTCATTTCTTCTGAGCAGAAGCAATAAATAATACAGTATTTACAAAACAGTTTATCCAAAATAATAATAGGGTAATTCAATAGGACATATTACAAGGTTACTAAAGTAATGAAACAACATGATAAACAGGATGAAATGGTACTAGCAAAGACAATGAAATAAGCAAACTCAAATCTACTTACATCTATATTAGCCACGTAAATCACAAACTTCACAAATCTTGAAGGTACCATCACACTAAACCATGACTTTTACTGTGGTGTATTTACCATAGAAACAATATTTAACATAATGTAATTTCAATAATGAATTGAAAACATATTGATTAGAATGATTCTGCAGCCTTTAAGATCAGAAAGGATGAGTTGTAAGAGAACTCATCTTTTTTTCTATATAAAACAGGAAGACCCCAAACTCTGGGTAAATTGACTTTTGATGAAGTAGTTTTTGAAAGAATAATTAAAGAATCATTTATCTGTTTTTAACCCTTGGTTTTTAAAATGAACATCATAGTGAAACATAAATTGATTACCATCTTCTACTAAAACATCGTTACAATATAAAATGTTTTAAAGGACTGAGACATTCATGGAGATTAAATGGTGTGTCCACACTAGCATCTCATTAGTTCAATAGTGTCCCGATCCTTTAAATAAATAGAAATTAAGTTATAATATTGATTATTTTGTACAAATGTGAAAGTGTTACAAATGATACAAGAATATTGTACTTTGTGCCAATATAGATTCAGTCTAAAAGGATCACTCAGAAATCACTTCTATAAAAAATAGACATTTGATCTATTTTTTCATATGCAATAAGTTTCTCAAAAAGAAAAACCATTCAGAAAGTTAAAAATTTTGCCATAGTGGACTGAAATTTTGCCATAGTGGATAGAGTAAGAAAGAGTCTAATATAAATAGCTAACAGTAATTGTTTTTTGTAAACTACTGGGAAATTGTTTTATGTAAAGAAATTAGATAGTTATAATGAAACCAAGATAGTAATATCAAGTGAAAATATTCGATATAATTTATATCTTAAAAAACACAATAGGATTAGAGGAGGTTTTGGATGCCATATCATATATGATACTGACCAACATGGTCAGTGTTGCACTGCTAAAGATGCCATTTTCTGGGGGGATCAATAAGGGCACTTTGCTGAGTGAGGGATGCTCCTCATTCCATGGAGGAGCATGAGGTGGTACAGCTGAAACCATGGTCAGTTCATTTGATACTCACCTTTTAATAAGACTTAGAGCTAACATTCCACTTAAAAGTAACCTGATTTTGCAAAACAATGCTAAATAAGAGCAAAAGGAAGGATTGTTATACCCAGGCCATGTGAAATACTATTAAATAATGATATTGCCATCATGATAGTAGTAATATTCATTAGCCATCAATGTTTTAACTTGGGAAATATCTTGGCAAGTTTTGTAGCCTGTAGTTTGGAAAAATATGTAATCCAATGTCTAATGCTTTGGCATATATTCTTTCAGTGAAAAATTCAACTAGTAAAAACACTGAGAAGAGGTAATTAGTGAACAGCTCATATGGATTAAATAAAGTCTGTGCTGTAGCATATGGACCACAAGGTAAGTCAATACACAGTTGTCCATCCATACATGAGACTGAAACATGCTATACTTAATGTAATTTGTATCCATTCATTTCCATTAAAAACTTGTAAAAATTTCAGTGAGTTGCCTCATTATAGGGATGTCCACAGAATATTTAGATTTATATATGTATCTTTGAATATATTTAAGAATATGCATATGCATATATACATATTTAATTCCATCCTATTATTTTAAACTGCTTATATTAACAAAGGAATTATTTTAAACTGCTTATATTAACAAAGGAAGACTTTTGTTTAATTATGTATAGCTATAAATTGTAAAATTATGATAGTTCAAAAGATTTTCCCGTAATACTCAGAGAAGATGCATGCAAATAAAATACAATTAGAACCATGCATGCAAATAAAATACAATTAGAACCAACTTTTTGTTTTGCTTTTAGGAAATCAACTAAGAGGAAAGCACTCCCACCCCCACAACCAAATTACAAAAAGTGAATAAAAATATCTAAGATAAACTCTTGAGGTGCTTTGTATAGATATTCCAAAGTACCTTACATAATCCCAGCACCACGTATATACTTACTACAAAATGCTTTGAGGGCTGAAAAAGGAAATAAACACAAATGAAACCAAAGCTCATTGTCCAAAATAAAAGTCTTAATGTTCACACAGCTATTTTCATTTGGTGACCATCACAGACATTACAAAAGGTTTTGCTGTTCTTAGTTTACAAATAGAAAATTTCAATATTCAGAATAAATTCAGTGATTGTCCTGCCCAGACCTGCTGGATGAGAAATGGCTTCCATGTTTCACAAAATTACCCGTGACCCAGACTATAAAGAGAATCATTTTGCCTTCTGGCCCAAAGGATATAAAAGCAGAGAGAACACATCAATGCATCCAATAATTAAACTAGCCTCATTTCTGTAGATAATATAAAGGCCTACTAGGTGGACACTTACCAAGGTCATTGGAAGGCATGTCGACAATCAGCTGGTCACTATATTTTCCATATAAGCCATTAGTGCATATGGCTACTATTTGAAGAACATAACTCATATTGGGTAGTAAGTTACTGAGAATAGCACCCTAAAAGAAAGATGTCAATAAATTATAACTGTGTTATTTTCATGTACACATTTGTCCTTAGAACACTTTTTCTCATTTGTCAATGAGAAATATTTATACTTTTATTAACCAAAGAAAATGTTTATGTAATGTTAAGTGGAAACCCTACCGAAAACTAGGCATTTTTTAGTTTAAAAAATCCGATTTAGTTTTAGAAAGTTTCATTTTTAACTAGAACTCATACAAGTTATACATGTGTGTCAAAATCTTCAAATTAATATTCTAGACAAATAAACATGTAGCATTTGCAAGGAGCAAAAGGTGAAGAAAACACAATGAAAAAAAAACAACTTATTTCTACTCTTAACAATATATAAACCAGATAGTAACAGGATTATTAACATCGCACTATTATGAAATGAAAAATGTCATATTCCTATAAATTCCACAATCTTCCAAGTTCATAGTGTCTCTGTTCTAGTTAAATGAATCTAAAAGTTGGAACAAATTTGATCTATTTTGTCCTATTTGATCTATGGTAGTCAACACCATGATCACAGGGAGTTTTTGTTTAAAGTCAGCTTCCTAGGGCGTGTGGGACTCACGCTATCTGAATGCAGAGTGCAGTGTGTGATCTGCAGTGGGATCTTCCTAGATCAGTGATGGCGAACCTATGACACACGTGTCAGAGGTGACACGTGAACTCATTTTTTTGGTTGATTTTTCTTTGTTAAAAGGCATTTAAATATATAAAATAAATATCAAAAATGTAAGTCTTTGTTTTACTATGGTTTCAAATATAAAAAAATTTCTGTATATGACCAGAGTTAAGTTAGGGTTTTTCAAAATGCTGGCATGCCGAGCTCAAAAGGTTCACCATCACTGTCCTAGAGCCACACCCAGATGGTGTTGCCTCAATGAAACCTCAGTCCACAGCCAACACTTCCAACTCTCCCTGCCAAGGCAGAGTCTAGTCTGCCACTGAGACGCTCAGGTCACAGCAGGACCCTGTCCTTTATTTTCTTTAGTTCCCGTGCCTGGGTAGGGAGGAAGAGCAGGTGGATCTTTCCCAAGGCTGACCTGCCTTGTGTCCTGAAAGTTCTGTCTCAATTGATGTCATTGCTACTTGCAAATTTGATGCCAAAAAAAGGAACTTTGGAGAGCCCTACTCTATTTTCCTTGTGCTGGTGTAATGTGAAGGGCAAATAACACATGATGGCACCAGAGCGCGGGGATTCCAGCCCAGTTCTTTCCACAACCGTGAGACCACACTCCAAGAATTTAACTGCTCTTTCAGTCTCTTTATTTCTAAAGAGAAGTGACAGTAGATGATCTCTAGTTCCTAAGCCTTTATCTGTGTCTACTCTGTAATGTTGTTGTTGGCAAAGTGGTGGTCTCCCATAATTAAAACCATAAACAATAACCTAGTGTGATTCACTGTAAGATTTGACATCATTTAGGCTCGCTTCTGCTCCTCCTCCTCCCCACTGGCGACCTTCATACCAACTCTAAACAACTGAGGGCAACAATATACAATCACTTGTAAGATCTTTCTTTGAAAGTTAAACTATGATATTATCAATATAAGAAACAATTGATCTTATAGTTACCAGATCTTGATAGCCATCTGTCAAAAATTCATGTTTGGTTTGGTCTTCTCCCTCTAACTGCTGGTAAAGAACTGCAAACTTCTCGATCATGTTATCATACACGACTCGCGGTCTCTCCCATGTAACAAGAAGGCTGGTGTAATTCTTTGGGTCGGCTTGAACATTTTCTGGTTCTGAGCTACAAACTTCAGAGAAAAAAAAATACAGTTATTGATACAGCTGTCAGCCTCTAGGATTTTAACAAATACTACCTCATATTCTACTAGTGGCCTGGTGCATGAATTTGTGCACATTGAAAGGAAATTAATTAGAAGAAATATTTTAATATCACTCTTCGCCCTTTCTCTATAATAGAAGTGTCAACCAAATTCATGATCGACAATGAGAGATCGAAACACAGGCACACAATTGACACCAGCGAGAGCTTTATATGTATTGTACATGCACAAGTCAACTTAGCCTTTTATAAATATAGAATAAACTTGCTTAATTAGACCTGCTTTCTGATTTAGCTAAACTTTTTCCAGCCCAGTGAAGCACCCCAACTTCTCTTTCAGGTAATTGTCAGCAACACAGCAGTAAATATCAACACAAAGCAGATTATTATTGTAGATCATGCAGGGAGAACAAAGGGTAAAATATTTAACTGCAGCAGTGTTTGACTATATTCTGCACAGTGAGAAAACCTGAAGTCATTTTCAAGGTCCACCATTTCTTACTTCTTTTCAGTTGGGTCAAGTTTCTAAGCTTTCTAAATTTCCGTTTTCCGGGTAATGAAAATAGGATTCCACTGAGTCACCTATTTACCTACTCCAGGACTTCTGTAAGGATCAAATGAGATGAGGCACGGGAAAATGCTTCATAGACATTTGGTTAAAGTGTGAAATGTTTCCATCTGGCTATAAAGCAAGTCATGTTCCTGGGCTGAAGAAACTGCAAGGAAGCTAGTTGTCGCTAGGGAGAGGAAAGCAGGCATTGCTACATGATGTTATTACCCGGATGGTCGGACAATTAGCATATTATCCTTTTATATATATAGATGATTTTTTTTGTATTTTATTTCAAAAGAATGTAAAGAGTTATACTTACTTGCTGCAGAGCTTTTGTTTATGCCATTTCCTGTCTATGAAATACTTCTTCCTTCACACCTATCTCTAGCTGTTCAGGTCCTACATTTCCATTCAGAGAGTTCTAGGCCAAATGCTCTGACTTCTGCTGAAGTGATCTGTGTCATCTGTCTGCTTGGTTTTACTACTGGATTAATTGCATTTTCTCTTATATTGTTTTTCTGAATTGGTCTTTCTTAACTTCTCTAGCAGATTATAAACATAAAAGCCATAGCCTTTTATTTCTAGATTGACTAAAATGCTACCTTGAATATTTGGCATTATTTTTGGAAATAAATGTACAAAGGACATCTACAAATTTATGATGACTTTATGTCTCTTGTTAGGTACTTGACAAATGTGTTTAGCTTGGGATGAGGAGAATTTCAATGATAAAATATGGTCTACTACTGGACATTTTGTTGACAGAAAATCCTTGAAATAATTAAAAATTTCACACCAGAGAAAACCATAGGAGAACAAGTAAAACAATCATTTCAGTATTTTTCAGATCTGGTAACAAAAAATCCTACTTTGACATAATAAATTGATTAAGCAATTAATTTCATGGAATTAGAAAGTTTGCTTATCTCATCTGAAAAAAATATTTTGAAAATCTTTCAGGGACTTAGAATAGAATTCAAGCCTATGCTGGGAATGGTGCCAAATACTTAGTCCCAACAGAAAGAGTACTCTGATACTTTCTGAAACACATTCATAATGTGCTAGTTTGAGCTAATTGTGAGAATGGAAATTATAAAATTTTATGTTGCACAAATTAAGCAAAGTAATAACTAATCTCTTCATAGACCAGATCGAGCTGCAAAGACAGAGAGAGAGAGGTCACTAAGACCCAGGATTAAGTAATAAGCTCACAGAACCTGGGTTTTGTTTTAAGGGGATACTTAAAGTTATAAAGCATCTGGCTGAGATCATGCAGTTGACTCCAGTCACCCAATTGTCACTGCTCTAAGAAATATTTCAAGGATTCAATGAAAATGTGCCTTAATAGCATTGTCACCAAGTTTTCATATCTGTACAAGTCTGTAGTTTATCTCATGAACACAGGAGGGCACCCAAAACTAACAATTGGCCTTATAAATTGAAAAGTTTTACATACAGTACTTAGTACAGTGGGGCCTTGACTTACAAGTGTCCCGACTAATGAGTTTTTTGAGATACCAGCTGTCTCTCGGCCGATTTTTTGCATTGAGTTGATAGAGTAATTTGAGTTAATGAGCTCCTTAACGAGCTCGGTCTCAGAACGAATTAAACTCATAAGTCAAGGCCCCACTGTATTAACAATTTCAGCAAATGTACACTATGCTAGTAATGGAATATGAATGATTCAGGAAAATATAAAAATATATACTTTGTATAAATAAGTGCATGAATAACTTCATATGAGTTAGAGACAGGATTTATTATTGTAAAAACTATGAAGTTATTTTTTGTTCACTAGGGAATTAGGGTGAAGTGTTCCTTTGGGAATAAGAATAAGATTCTTCCATTATCATAAAACATGAATTCATAATAAGAAAATATATTCTAATTTAGGTCCAGACTATATTATCTTTACTCTACCTAGGGACACTTCTATTAGTGTCCACCAGATGGCAGAAGACCACCAAATCATCTCAAAATATATGTGAGCTACTCACATAAACTATCATTGTAGGAACAAGATTCCTCAGTTTTGCTTGTAATGATTCCTAAGTTTCTTTTGGAAGGACAAAAGTGATTCTAGACAATATCATTTGTAGATTTTGTCCTAAAAATTCAATCCCAGGTTTTAGAATATGGGAATGATTTAAAGTGAAATATTCTCTTCTCCCCAAATTAATCTTAAAATGCATAAATTTTGCACATGCACAGAAATCATAAAAATTGCTTGAGAAAAATAAAAATACCCAAATGACTGCAAAGTACCCAAATGACTACTCTCTAAATAGCATAAACTTCTTTGGTCAGATGTCTATGTTTATCTCGACTTAATAATAGTAGAAATCACAGATGCTTCATATTTTAAGAATCAACATTGGTAAAAAGAATTCTAAAAAAGAAAGCTATATTTGTCATTAGGTCGTCATTGATTTGCTTTCTTATTTATAGATCTATAAGAGCCTATTGGTGATTAAAAAATAAGTCCACCTATTTTTAAATTATAAATGTATGTTAACAACACTCTCTTCATTTATTTAAAAAAAATTTTAATCCTCACTGGAGGATATGTGTGTTTTTTTAAATTGATTTTAGAGAGAGAAATGGGGGAGAGAGAGAGAGAAACATCAACGTGAGAAAGAAACATTGATTGTTTGCCGTTGCCCTGACTGGGGATCGAACCGGAAGCCTTTTTTTGATGTAGGGACAAGGCTCCAACCAACTGAACCACCTGGCCAGGGTTCCCTTTGTTTATTGATAATAAAAAACTTAATAATAGGTTACAAAGCTACAGCCCAATCTTGTACTTTAGATATTGAAATACAGGCTTTTATGGGGAAAAGATATATATTTCAGGTTGTATTCAAAAGAGAAGCTGGTACTTCTATTTGTAGTCTGTGATCTTGCCAAAGGACTGCCCTTCTATAAGGTAGGAAAGAATCTTTAAATAACAATCTAGTTAATTCCATATACATATACTCCTTGATGTTCAAGCATAAAACTGGTAATTACCATGAAATGAGTTTTTAATTTGCACTAAATTTTCCAGGTTTTCATTATATTTCTTATTGAAATTAGTTTAATTATCTTATCAGAAGGATATATACTCTACAAAGCTTATTATCTGGATTTAAAATTAAGAAGGGTTTTCCAGATCAGGCTACCAATTGATATAATAAAGTAGTAATAAAATGTAATTAATTTCCTTGATTATGGGAAGTTCAGAACTATGTTGAGGTCCCAGTTCCTATAGCAGGACTGAATCACATTCCCCGATATCTTTCCACAAGATACATGTGATCTGAACCCTAGTTACAGATTCTTTAAGGAGCACTGGCCAAGAATGAGAATCTGGTTTCTGCAAGCCCTTGCCCTTGACGATCCTGTGGTCCATGTCAAGTCACGTAGAGTATAGCAACTGCTTTGGTAGAAATGCAAAGGACGCTCACATACAAAGAATGAGGATACAGTCCCCCTTTTCAGGGTGCAATACATGTTCTCACTTAAAAACTTATTTTTAACATTAAATTCTCATCCACTTGATAGCAGGCTCTCTTAACATACAAATACAGGCAATGCTGTCCCTGTCCCTGAGAAGCTTGTTCCTATGGTAGCCTCTAACCCTTATAGCTAGTAAGCTATAAAATGCAATGGCTGTTTTTAGTTTCTTAGTCCTGGACTCCATTTAGAGAGGAATAAAAATAAACTTGTAAAAATATACCATGTAGACCAAATTAGGTTGTGATTTTCAAAACCACACATTTTTCTCACTAGAAGTTGTAAAAGTTCCACAAACTTTTAGCTGACAGGGAGTCATTTATCCTCCCATAACTTATATAAATCTATATGAAGGGCGAATATCTCACATGTAGGGATGTGCATGACTTGGAGAACAAGTATGAAAGATTAATAAGCAAAGCACTGAGTGTCATGAGAAAACAAAAAAAAACGAGGGAAAAGAAGAGGCAAAGTACAAGTGAGGAGAAAGTGACAACTCTGGCTTGACACATCTCTCAGCTAATCGAGCAAGTTGCTGCAGATGGTCAAGGGGAGGTAGGAGTCTCCTTCTGCTTTGCTGCTTCATGCGCCCACCTTGGAGGAAGGGCAGTCTGCCCTGAGGGAGAAGGTGCAGTCTTAGCTCCACGGCTTATGAGTACAGGTGACAAGACAGATGGTGATTCTGGGGGAGGGGCAGAGAAAATGTCACAATTGCCTGCGATGTCACTAAGTATTACCCAGTTCTTTTACACTGACTTGAAGTGTGGTGCCCTTTAACACAACCCACGACAAAGGACTTTGTGGACAAACTGATAAACCCACCTCATCTTTGTATGAGGTTTATGAGCACCATTTGAAAAACTATTGTGAGAGGAGCTTAAAGACTCACAGACCAGAAGACAATCAATATTAAGGTTGCGATTTCCCCTCAGGGAGTAGCAGATCTTAATAAAGCTAATGTAAACATGGCCACAACTGTGACAAATAATAACTAGAAATGATCTGTCACTGTTTGGTACCTCTGAATTATTACAGCATTCACTTGAGATAAATAGCCAAGAGAAATCTTTTAAATTCTCCATAATTCAGTCAGTCTTCTCTTGGGGAGCACAGGCACTTCATCAACAGTTTGATTTGTAATATATAATCTTCTAAGAAGTCTCATGTCACTTTTCCATATATAGTGTCAACGGACATGTGACATTAATGAATGCTATTTATAACTACTGACTTTTAAGAAGGTAAGTCTGCTGATGTATAATTCATCGTGACATTTTTCAGGAAATTACAGAAAATTTCTCATTGCTCAAATACAACATTAGGGGATAAAGGCCATCCTGTATTGCCATTTTCCCTTGAAAAGCATCATTAAATATATTACCATGCTAGCAAATGAAGTGCATTTATAATTCTAGTCAACAAACAAAAGCCTTAAACATGGAAAACTTGAATAGTATGCCATACTTGCTGTGATAGCTTAGCCATCATATATAGACACATGTATGCATACACACACATATAAATAAGTGTATCACATACACACACACATTACAATAATCCTATATAATAAAAGACTAATATGCAAATTGGCCGAATGGCAGAATGACCGGTCGCTATGATGTGCACTGACCACCAGGGGGCAGACACTCAACGCAGCCGGGCTCAAGGCTGGTGAGTGCAGCAGCGGTGGTGGGAGCCTCTCCTGTCTCCACAGCAGCGCTAAGGATGTCCGACTGCCGAGTGGGCCTAAGCCTTTAGTCAGACATCCCCTGAGGGCTCCCAGACTGCAAGAGGGTGCAGGCTGGGCTAAGGGACCCCTCAAGTGCACAAATTTTCGTGTACTGGGCCTCTAGTAGTAGCTATACGTCTGGAGCACATTATGTTCAAAGGACCGCTCTGCTTTGCAAACTTTTGTTCATTTAAAACCCACAACAACCCTACAAAGGTGGCATTTTAACTCATTTTTTAGGTTCAGAAACTGAAGCTTTAGTAAATTGACAATTTTTGTAACTAATAAGTGTTGGCACTGGGGTTTGAAAGCAAGAGCCTACTGGACTTTAAAGACCACGTCTTTCCCACTGCTTTCCCAGGCCCCACTTCTCAGTGGGAGTCTTGGCAGGGGCTGCGCGGGCAGTAGGGAAGCACCTGGCACCTGGAAGGCAGGGGACAAAGTTGAACTTCACCTACTTTCCACTCACGCCGTGTCTGTATGGTTACTCACATATATTCCTCATTATCTAAAAGCCTGCTTTTACTTACTCCTTCAGGATCCAATGGTTCTACTAAATTCTGTGATTCTTAGAAAGCCATTGTGCATTCCATGGTGCCAAAAACATGCCTTTCTAGTAAATGGCAGCTCCACATAAAAAATGCAAAACTTGAGGACTGAGTTCTGGTAAGATGTGTTCACGCACAAAGGCTTACTGCATTCCTGCTCTAAATGCAGAAGTGGATGAAGCTGGACCTCTACTCTGAAGGGGTTTACATGGATATACAGACCTCATGTGGGTTTTGCAATTATTTGCAATGTAGTTTTGCAGAGGGTATTTTTCTACAATGCATCTACTGAGAGCAGAATTTCGACCATTTTCATGCCAACTCTTACTTCTCTCTTGGTCAAAGTGAGAATGTTAGATATTTATAATGGTAAAATATATAAATGTAACCCAAATATCCAGAACTGAGAAGCTGCATTAATGACTCTACAAAGCAATACTGCATAAAAATGGTGTATTAATAATATATTTATATCATGGAATAAAAAAATCAATAAACAGATATGTAAGTAGTGCAATTTCATTTCTGTGAGAAATAATAATATATATATTTTTTAAATATATTTTATTGATTTTTTATAGAGAGAAAGGGAGAGAGATAGAGAGTCAGAAACATCGATGAGAGAGAAACATCGATCAGCCGCCTCCTGCACATCCCCTACTGGGGATGTGCCCGCAACCCAGGTACATGCCCTTGACCGGAATCGAACCTGGGACCCCTCAGTCCGCAGGCCGATGCTCTATCCACTGAGCCAAACCGGTTTCGGCAATAATAATATATTTTTAAGAAAAAGGTATGGAAGGATATTCACCAAAATCCTCATAGCAATTATCTTTGGGTGGTGACATTATAAAATATTTTTATTTTCTTCTGTATGTTTATCTATATTTCCTATTTTTTAAAAAATATTTATTTTAATAAAAACTTACTTTCAGATTAAATATAATAAAAATTAAGTACTGAACATAAATGCAAACCTCAATTCTTATTCTCAAATTCAGTTCAAGAAAGTAGAAAGGAAGTAGTGTATCAATTAAGAAAACAACCATCACAGGAATATGCACAAGGCAAATGATAATATGAGCTTGTTGAACACTAGTACTCATGATGGAACAAGCGAGAATTCAGCTGTTACCGTTTGTGGAAAAAGGAAGTACTATTTTTGAAAAGTTTCATGTCATTAAGGTAATCAGTTTTTATTATAAAATTATATAGGCAGAAATTATGTTCCCTTATAAATATAAAGCATAGTGGAGAAACCTTTGGAGATCTTTAAAATCAAGAAGAGCTGAGTTCAAATACTCATTCAGTACTTTATAGTTCTGTGAACTTGGACAAACCACTTAATATCATCTTTCCAAACTGGAAAATAAGGCCACTGATTCACACAATGCATGGTGGATTACTGTTTTTATGGATTACTTTTGGACTCTGTCACTTAACTGTGGAAACAACAACGTTCCACATTAAATCAGATCTACATATGTGTAGACATGTTAAATGGTGCAATAGACAGCCATGAAGTATAACCTGCCATATTTGCACTATATGGAGATGAATTCTTTTAGTCATTTGCTAGATGTCTGGTGAATGAGAGCTGCACTTTAGCTCAGCAATAGAGGTAAAGAGGTGAAAAACTTAGCTACTCCCTTCATGAGTAAACAGACAATTATCATTCTATGCCAACTGCTATGAGGTTTGGATGCGCAGAGAATAGGCACACCTGGGCCCATCACACAACTTCAGATGCACATCATTTATCTGTTACTCTGTGGGTACAGCACCTCCACCAGGGCACAATCCTGTGCCCCGGCCAGAGCTAGGCTTGGTGGGGATGGCGGTGGAGTCAGAGTGGCTCTCCAGTGAATGCAACGGCCTACTTGGTTTTGAAGAATGAGAAGACCAATGAGTGAAGACAGCCGGGAAGAACATGCCATGGACAGGAAAGAGCATGTGTAAGTGCAGCCTGGGAGATGGGGTCTGCCCTCTTCAGAATGAAAGAAGGAAGCTGGACGGGGAGGAGAACGCACTGAGACTAGTTAGTGTTAAACAGGACCTACCATAAAATGGCAAATGGTATGGAAGGGTTTTAGTAACATATAATTGAGAAAAGTACATGGCAGAAATACATTTATTTAAAATTTTTATTTGGTCATTTGTATTTTAGAAAAGGAAATGGTTAAATCCAGCTTCTTTTTTCCTAATCAATTGTCTATTATTTACCAGACAGGATGTTATAGTATTTAGTGTTGCTAGTAGAAATATAATTAAATTTCCTCACTTTGGGGCAATTTAATTTGAAACTTAATGTAACATTAAATGCAGCTATTCATCATTGCTGTCTTGCGCTGTATTTTTTTTTCTTGTGTGGTTAAAGCGTAAACAATGCTCACAAATAGCACATTAAAGCATGCCATTTTAATGCCTAATCTTCAAAAGCAGATGATTATTAAATTAATGTTATACATGGCCAAAAATTCATGGCAGGGCCGAGATCAAAGAAGACCATGTACTTGGAAAGGTTTTAAGTCCCCAAAGCAAAGGCCACTTCAACTATTTCCTTCATGAACTAGTCCATTCAAAGGGTGAAATGAAAAGGACAAGTCAGTAGATGCAACCGGTTGTGTCCTCTGGGCATTTCCAAAGGCTCTGACTGCTGCACTGGCTTCAAAGAAGTCACTGCGGAGATGCTCCCTGGCGTCCTCTCTATTGCCTGACAAGACATTTCTTCCCTCCAAAGAAGGCAACAGGGGAAAAGACTCATTTTTCATTAATAATTCAGCTCATTTAGTTTCCATCCCTACTAGGCGTTAGCTCTTCTCCAGGAGCGGCCAACACTAAGATGAACACCTTAAAACCCAAATATATGGTGACAGAAGATGTGACTTTCGGTGGTGGGCACAAGATGCAAGATCATGGAAATGTACCCTTGAAACCTACATCATCTTCTTAACCAATGTCAACTTAACACATTTAATTTAAAAATACTTGTTGAAACAAATGATTGATCTACCTCAGAAACAAACAAACAAACCAAAACAAAACCACATGTCAAGGCTCAGCTCAAATTTAGTTCTCTCACTGGGGTTCCCCTGATCACCCCAACCGGATGTGATCTCCCCACGCTCTGAACACCTTGGTTGTTTATTCAGTTCTCTTTTAGAGCTCTTAGTACAAATTCCATCAAGTGACTTCAGAGCTGTGTCTGTAGCTTTGCCATCTACTGCTGTGTGTTTTAGAAAAATCACTGCCTTATTGAATCTCACTGTTCTTCACCCGCAAAATGGAAATATTCATGTGGGGAAGAAGAGATATTTTAAATTGCCATTTTATGAATGTGGTAACTGAGATTTAGAGAAGTTAAATAGTTTGTTTAAAGCTACAAAGCTAATAATCAATATATTTCTAAAAATTGTTGTTTTCCATTGTACCACAATTATCTCCTACAAAACTGAATCTGTGAGTTGTAGAAAAATTATATTTCAATACATACCTGCTTCACGAATCTCTTCCTTTCCAGTATAAGAGGTAAACACCTGCCTGGAAAACTTGTACTGTTGTTCTCGAAAATTATTTTGTAAGTAGTCCATCAGCATGACATAACCAGACTGCTGCATGGTGAGAACTTCACAGAAAACAGCCAACTAAAAAGAAGAGAATTTAACATGTCCTTTAACACTCCTGCTTCACGGGCATCAGTAAAGGCTCTAAAACATTCTGTAGTAAAGCTCCGAAAATTTTTTTTTTCAAATTACTTCATGTGTTTGAATTTTTAATATTACCTGGTTTTCAGAGATGCTAACTGTATTTTTAAAAACAATCCAGTCAACGGTGTCCGTGCAGGGAGGCGAGGTCAATGAGCCATTGTAGGTGTAATACTTGTCGGTTGAGTTTGGCAGGAGGTTCAGCAATACGAAAGGATCTAACGCCGCCTGTTTCCCTGCAAAGTAATAACAGATGTCTCAGCTGGCATCCCAACTCTGGAACTTAGCTGTTCAAAACTTCTATGAAACAGAGACATATGCCTTGGTATCTATTTAACCAGAAATGAGAATCTGAGAACAGTTTAGATCTACTTTTTCAATGGCAATAAAACTGGCACATACATAGTTTTCTTACATATATCACTACATAGTGTTAGATGCTTCATCTTTACACCAGGAAGATGCTAGAAAGATTATTTTACATATAAAAGATATTCAGAAATTATATGACCATTTTAATAAATACAGGAAAATCATTTGATAAGATTCAATACACTTAGTGGAAAACAAAAACAAAAGCTCATTCTAAAGGTTATCCTCAAAAGCCCATAATAAACATAACAAGGATGACTTATTGAAAGCTTTTCCCTTAGAGATCAAGGGGAACAAAGACGTCCTGCTATCACCATTTCTATCTAACACTGAACTGGAAGACTGGGCCAATGCAACAAAACAAGAAAAAGAAAAAACTCATAAAGACTGGATAGGAATAAATGATAATACCATAATTTGCAAATAACATGATTGTGCATATAAAATATAAAAAATTACAGACTATTAGAATTAACAAGTGTATTTAGTAAAGTCACTGCATACAAGACCAATCTACAAAAAGTTATTCTATTTCTATATAACAGTAGCAAACTATAGAAAATAAAAATTTTAAACAATAGAACATAATAACAACGAAGTATCAAGTATAAGTAAATCTAAAGAATGATGTGTTTAACATCTTTATTTAAAATCACAAAACTTTCTTAAGAGTAATTCTCTAATTGATAAAATCTTAAAATAATGGGAAATACCATGTACAGGAGTAGAAAGGTTTGGTACTGTGAAGGTGTTGATTTTCTCCAAATTAATTTATAGAGTCAATGAAATCGTAATTGAAGTCCCAAGAGGGACTTTGTGTGTGTGTGTGTGTGTTGTGTGAACTGACATGCTGATCTTAAAATTCAATTGGAAATACAAAGAAAAGTTAGGCAAAGGGATTAAAAAGCACAAATTGATAGTTACAAAATAGTCATAGGGATATGAAGGACAGCATAGGGAATACAGTCAATAATACAGTAATAACTATGTATGGTGCCAGGTGGTGACTAGACTTATTGAGAAGATCACTTTGTACATATCTAACCACTATGCTATACATCTGAAACACATATAATATTGAATGTCAACTAGAATTAAAAAAACAAAGTTATGATACTCTTGAACAATAATAAAGCTGGTGAACTTTCACCACCAGATAGTAAGATCTGTTATATAATGTTGTAAAAGTCATGACAGTGAGATCTTTATGGGAAAAGAGACAAAGGGAATATGGAAGAGAACAGAGTCCAGACCCCCATATGCATGGTCACTTGATTTATGACAGAAAAAAATCACTCTGTAGTTGGAATGAACTGCATTTTGAATAAAGAGTGCTGGGTCAGCCCTGGCCTGTTGGCTCAGTGGTTGGAGTGTTGGCCCAAAGACTGAGGGTTGTGGATTTGATTCCTGACAAGGGTGCCTGCCTCGGTTGCAGGCTCAATCACCTGGCCCAGTACCAGAGGCAACTGATCAATGTGTCTCTCTCACATTGATGTTTCCTCTCTATCCCTCCCCCTCCCTTCCACTCCCTCTAAAGATCAATGGAAGAAGTGTCCTTGGGTAAGGATTAACAACAACAACAAAAAGACTGCTGCATCAGTTGAATATTTTTATGGAAAAAAGTGCATCTTGAATTTCTACTTTACACGCAATCAGTTCTAAATACACGGTATGGATCAGTTATAAATAGATTATAGATCTAAATGTGAACAGAATAATAAAACTTTAAGAGAAAAAACAGAGAAAATTATCTTTATAATCTTATGGTAGATTAAGATTTCTGAAATGGCACACAGAAATTATTATCCATAAAAGATAAATTTTAAGATGTGATCATCAAGATCTATTCATCCATAGTCACTATTAAGAGAGTAAAAAGCCAAGACAAAGAGTAGAAAATATATTCTGGGTAACATATGTATATAAATACACATACATATATAGTACAATAACAAATATTGATTTAATTTGCTAGATATACAAGAATATAGAACTTGTATTCAAAACAGAAAATTCCTACCAAAAACAAAAAATGGGTAGAGTTTTCCTAAATATTTCATCTGGTCCTAGAATCCTTAAACAATATGGCTTTCCTGTCTCCTTGAATAGTCCCATATTTGTTTTTGCATCTTCCCAGTAGCACCTCCCAATAGCACTGCCTTGGTCATTTAGCTACTCGTGTGCCAGCCCTCACTCCTGCAGGAGGCAATCTCCCAGTGAGATCTGTTCTTAACTCATTCTCCCACCCAACTGATTTTGTAATAATGTAAAAATTCATTAGCATCCAAAGCAGAATCTAGAAGATGTCTCCAAATAGCTTACTTACCAAAACGACCAACTTTCTCAACTCCATCAATAATTGCTTTGTAATCCAAATTTTCTTCTATTCCAATCTGTAAAGAAGAATGATATTCTAAAAATGGGGTAAAATATTTGATTAAGTGTCCACTAAAATGTAAAGATGAGTGATTTCCATTTTAATAGTCAAAAGTAATGTCCTCCAAATTGCTCACCCTTTTTCCACAGCAAGGTACCAATACAACATAAACCTTTTAAATCTCTTAAACTTTCCACCATGAAAAGTACATTTTAAAATGTCATGACTCACAGTCTCTGCTATATCATTATGATCCTTCACATATACAAAGAGGCAAATCGGTGCCCTCAGGACAGTTTGCTCCAGCTGGCAGTGAGGTACCCAAGAGATGACTACAAGAGGCCCTTTCAACTGCCCAGCCAAGGGGTTGTTCTCCAAGTTAGCATTCTACTTGTGAGCTCTTCTATTTGTTCCAAAGAACGTTTTGACATTTCACATCAATATTTCATGTGATTCAAACAGGAATGGAGTTAGCGGTAAATCTAAGTACAATGATTACCTCAAATAAAATGGATAATGCTCTTATCTTCCCTTTTCCTTTAACTGCTTCTTCAAAACTTGAGAATTGGTCCACATCAAAGCAGTAGATTTGCATCTATAAATGTAACAATGACGGCTTTAGTATATAGAAAGGCTTCACAAAAGTGAGCAAAGAAACAATAAAATAATTTACCAATTCAATCACTTCTATCTGAAAAATTCTCTAAACTGTATAATTCTGTACTCTGCATATTTAAAAGTTGCCAGAGACCAATGCCAGCATGTCATAATTTCAAAAGGTTGATGAAACTTGGAGACTCAACAGGGTTGAGTCACACATGTAATCACCTGTTGGGAATGGCTGAAGGCATTTCCCCAAACCTGAATAGGATACATTAAATTGATAACAACTGTAGGCTAATTCCCCTATTCTGACAATGGACTCTGTACCAAACCCTAACCCTTTGAACTGTATATCTCTGCCTCGCCTCATGACAAATTGTGTTAATAAAAAGCATGGGGTTCTGGGGACAACGAGAGAACCTAAGACCTTAGACTTAAGATCTTGGATCTTAGCTCCTTTAGCTAAGCTCCTCTGACCCCCAATGCCTTTCAAAATTATATCTCGTCTCCGGACTCTTCATTAGTCTCTGGATTCCTATTAAATCTACGCACAGCCTTCTCCAGATTCCTGAACCCTTCTTGATTCTGGGCCAAGAACCCCAACAAAAAGTAATTTTTCAATTTTGTGTATACACAACTGCATTTACTATCATTTCTCATCCTGCGTTGAGGAAGGAAACACAAATTAGACATACCTACAATTGAAATGACCTCTTTGGGATTGCAGGTGGCATTAAAGTAATAATTTACTAGAACAATTATCAAATGTAATAAATGTTACTTCAACTATTTTGCTGGTATTCCTTCAAATATAGTTTCATTCTTTTTTGACTGGACATGCCTTTCTTGATGGTCTGAGGGTTACTATTTTCGGACTTTGTCTTCCAATCTATTAATTGTGAAATTCTTAAGGACCTTATTTCCACCTAAAAAATACTAAGAGTTTTAATTCCTTATTTTGTCTTCTCTCCAGGTCTGAGGCTACACCTTGTTAATTTCTACTTTAGCCTATATATCTGCCGATAGCCCCTAGTCTCACTTATAAGTGGGTGATCCTCATGTCATGGGCTTGGAAATGAGGTAACTGAGTTTAGAAGCATAATTAAGGGAAGAAGAGAACGCCTCTGAGAAGGTTAATGTGCTGTAGGGCTGTGATCAGAGAAATAGTGGGTGTGAAGCAGGGGATGGCAGTGGCTCCTGCCTTGAGTGATCCCCAAAGCCTTTCAAAGAGAGAATTTCTAAGCTGAACCCAAAAGTATGAGAAGCTTTAAACTCAGAGGTGAAAAGGCAGAAGAGGTAAGCTTGTGTTCAAGTCAGAGGGACCAGCGAAAGGCCAATAGGCAAGCAAATATGAGAAATGTGGGAAATGGGGAGTCATGTTGGTGATTTCAGCTGAGCATATGTGACCGAGAGGAGAGATGAAGCTGGAGACGTAGGCAGGGGACACACCAGGAAGGTCTGCGAGGCTGTCCCTGACTGCAGTTTGGTCTGGAGAGCAATGGCAAGTCCTGATGCATTTCAGCTAACAGGGTGCGGAGGGAGCACGATGGGGGGAGGGAAGAGATTAAGACTAGAGAGAAGGAGACCAGTTCAGAAACATTCCATATGTGAAGTAAGAGGCAAAAGTGGTTTACATTTTCATCTGATCTCCCACATCATTTAGGGACAGAATGGAGAAGACTTGTCTGCAGCAATCAGAAAGACCGGAAAAACAGAACAAGCCCAGGATGCCCCTCAGTTTCCTGCTTGCACAATGACATGGAGAGCGTTTACACAAACAGCCATCAAACAGACAATACCACTGAGAACACTTGAGGGCCTTTTTAAATAAGAAAAATGTATGAGGGTAGTGCACAGACTCTCTACTGTTTCTTTTGCCGGTTCAGAACTTACGTTGTTGCCAGAGTTTTTCTTGATTTTTAAAAAATTTTTATTGAATTTCCTAGGGTGACATTGGTTAATAAAATTATATAGGTTTCAAGTGTACAATTCTATAGTACATCATCTGTATATTGATTTTCATCTGTGCTTTTAATAAGTACTATTGTGAAAGAGCTAACTCTCAGAAATGAGAATGTTATGTGTGTTTAATGAATTGACTTTTATTTCTTTCACAAACCAAATTTGATACTGTATTTTCTTTAAGAATATTTAATATATCTATATATATGAAACCTGCTCCTGGGGGTGATTGGGGAAGCAGCCGCCGCTCACACCCGCTGCTGGTGCCGGCCCCAATCGCTCCAGGCCGTCAGCAGGTGCAGTGGGGCTGGCGCTGTCAGCTCATGGGATCGGCGGCATTAGTGGGGCTGCCAGCAGACAGGGGATCAGGGGTCACAGTGGGAGGGACTGGGCAGGGGTGCGAAGGATGGGCCGAGACCCGCCCCTGTGCCCACTGCAGCCTCATGGCCCACAGTTCCTTTCAAGGTGCACGAATTCATGCACTGGGCCCCTAGTTTAAAAATAAATTACAAGCTATAAATCTGAATGTGCTTATCCACATGAAAAATGATCTTTAACCCTTTAAGACAGTGGTTCTCAACCTTCTGGTCCTTTAAATACAGTTCCTCATGTTGTGACCCAACCATAAAATTATTTTCGTTGCTACTTCATAACTGTAATTTTGCTACTGTTATGAATTGTAATGTAAATATCTGATGTGCAGGATGGTCTTAGGCAACCCCTGTGAAAGGGTCGTTTGACTGCCAAAGGGGTCGCAACCCACAGGTTGAGAACTGCTGCTTTAAGAGATCATTCACGCTAGTTTTATTTTTATTATCAATATATGCTTTGGATTATAAATTAATAGTTTCATTTTAAGTAATTTAGAAAACATGGGAATTTTGAAGAAGGTACCTATATGCCATGACAAAGGGAAAAATCATTGTTAATGCTTTCTTGATTTCCCTCAATTATTTTTATATTAGTAATAATCCATCTTCTCATTTAATCCTCATAATAACTGCATAAGATAGTTGCTACTACTATTACATTAATTTCACAGAAGAGAACTGGAAGCTTAGGTAAAGTAAATAATTTCTACAATGTCATGTCTTTAACTAATAACTAAACTAACAATAATTTGTACAATGTTGTGTCTTTAGTAATTAAATGATGAAATACATATTCAAACTTAGTGATTCAAACTGTACTCTCAGTGACTAGTTTTCATATTTCACAAAGTTGAAATAACAATACCATGTTCACTTTTTTATATTCTTTTTTAAAAGCATTAGTATCTTTAAAAAGTAAAAAGCATTAATATCTTATGATGAACCATTTTTGTGTAAATCATCTAAGAATATGATTTTTACAAGATATATAATATCCCATCATAATGTATTTAATCATTTTCTTTTGTTTCAACTTTTTATTACTGTAAATAAATCTTTGCAGATACATTTTTGAGTTTATCTCTAATTATATTTTAGATTAAACTGCTACAAATTGAAATGACAGATATTGACAATAAGCTTTTTAAAGCTCTTGATAAAAACAAGCAAATTGCATCCAGAAAGTCTACCAATTTATATTCTCTAGACATGTATGAAAGTGTTTATTTCATCCCACATTCATGATTTATTATAATTGTTTATCTTGCCAATTTTAAAGCTGAAAATTTTTTTTCATTTTACTTTGCATTTCTTTGATTCACCAGTATAATGATGAACCCCCTCCCCTCTTTTTTTCCCTACAGGGATATGAAAAAATTTCATTTATTCATTTACTCATAAACATTTATCATCAATAATGTGACATTCTGGGTTACCAGGAAGTGAAAAAGCAAATTTGGGTATTATTTAACTTAGTCTGGTAAGGAAGACAGATATTAACAAAGCAAACAAAATATAACAGTACAAATTATAAAATTTGCTAACAAATTAATAAAATAATATGCTTAATAAAATCTCAATGAATAAAGGAAAGGATCAGAGGGAACTCCGAGGGAATGATTAGGGAGATCTTAGGATGGCTGTGCATGGCTGTAGAGGGCAACCAGTCCAGACTGGAGCACCAGCAGAACTAGTGACTTACCTCGAGTGGAAATTTTTGTCCTTCTAAACTATGTTCGGATCCATCGGATGACATGTTGCATTTTCCCCAGTGAAAAGCTATCTTGCTTGCTTTGAACACCGTTTCTGAAACTCCTCCACTGAGCTGGTAGTCATTAGTGAGATTAATTTCCACTAAAACACATACACAGACAAAAATAAAATTGCATCTAAATTTCTAAAAATCAAAATTACACATTTCAAGTACATTTTCTCCTATCACAGGTACATTAAAAATAATTTCTTTGATTAATTTTTAAAAAATTAAGTTGCCATTTTGGAAGCTGAACTGTAACTCTGCACAATATACCCAATATACAGATGATGTATTATAGAATTGTACACTTGAAACCTATATAATTTTATTAACCAATGTCACCCCAGGAAATTCAAATTTTTAAAAAATCAATATGTCTTATTGCCTAAAATGTAAACTAACCCAAATACCCTAAGTACTGTGGGACCCTTTTAGCTGCTCTGCTTCTCTGGAGTCCTGAGATGGCCCTTACCCCAAAGCTCTGCTTCCCTAAGGCATGTGATGACAGTGCGGGGACAGAGCGAAGGGAGAAGGAACAGAAGAGAGGAGAGAAGTCTTCTCTTGGGAGTGCTCCCCACCTTCTCATGTTCAGCTCATTTCTACTCGTTATCAGGGTGCTGTTTCTGTCTCCCCTTCGTACCCCTCCATGCATCGCCCCAGGCTTCATCAAGCCCTGTCCCAGGCTGCAGCAAGGCAGGTGGAAACCCAGTCCCATTGAGGGGTTTTAGCCATCTCATGTTTGAATTCTGAGTGACAACTTTCAGAATCTTAAAACCTCTTAATTTGAGTTCCATATCAGATATTATTTGACAGTATTTTAAGAGTTGTCTGGAGATTAAGGATTCTCTTGAGAGCTTAAGACAAGATGTTGAAATCTCTCAATCAGATCTAAACAGTTTTTGTTCCATGAGGCAGAAACCACTGTTGGCATTAGGGACTTAATCCAACATGCTGGTCGGACAACTAGAGACATAAACTTCCATTAATAATAACAACAATAACAATACAATAACAATAATGGTCAGCATTCTTTTTTATCACTTACAATGTACCATGCATTAAATATTTGCTACTCACACAATCCTAGGAAGGAGGAGAAACAGAGATTAACCTGGTCAGGATTTAATGCTGTACTTTTTAAAATATATATATTTTTATTGATTTCAGAGAGGAAGGGAGAGGGAAAGAGAGATAGAAACATTAATGATGAGAGAGAATCATTGATCAGCTGCCTCCTGCATGTCCCACACTGGGGATCGAGCCACAACTCGGGCATGTGCTCTGACTGGGAATCAAACCATGACCTCCTGGTTCATAGGTTGACACTTCAGTCCATGGGTGGATGCTCTATCCACTGAGCCAAACTAGGTAGGGCTCGATGGCGTTTTATACACCAATAATGTATTAGTATTCTCAGAAAGAGAAACTAAGAAAACAATCCCATTTACATTGCAACAAAAAAAGATACTTAGGAATAAACTTAGTCAAGGAGTTTTGTAAAAGATTTGTACTCAGAAAACTAGAGGACATTGAAAAAAGAGATGGAGGAAGATATAAACAAGTGGAAGAATATACCATGTTCATGGATGGGTAGAATTAACATCATTAAAATGTCCATACCACCCAAAGCTATCTGTAGATTCACTGCAATCCCTATTAAAATACCAAGGGCATATTTCACAGATCTAGAACAAACTGTCCAAAAATCTATATGGAATAATAGTAATAATAATGATAATAATAATAAAAGACTACAAATAGCTGCAGCAATCTTAAGAACAAAATTGGAGAAATTACAATACCAGATATTAAATTATACTAAAAAGCCACCATAATCAAAACAGCCTGATACTGGCAAAAGAATAGGCATATAGATTAATGGAACAGAAGAGACCCTAGAAATAGACCCAAGACATTATGCTCAATTAGTATTTGACAAAGGACGCAAGAGCATGCAATGGAGTCAAGACAGTCTCTTTAATAAATGATGCTGGGAAAATTAGACAGGTACATACAAAAAAATGAAACTAGACCACCAACTTACACCATACACAATAAACTCAAATTGATAAAAAACTTACATGTAAGTCATGAAACCATAAAAATCCTAGAAGAAAATATAGGCAACAAAATCGCAGGCATCTCTCATAGCAATATGTTTACTGATACATCTCCTAGGGCAGTGGTTCTCAACCTTCTGGCCCTTTAAATACAGTTCTTCATGTTGTGACCCAACCATAAAATTATTTTCGTTGCTACTTCATAACTGTAATGTTGCTACTGTTATGAATAGTCATGTAAATATCTGATATGCAGGATGGTCTTAGGCGACCCCTGTGAAAGGGTCATTCGACCGCCCAAGGGGTCGCGACCCACAGGTTGAGAACCGCTGTCCTAGGGCAAAGGAAACTAAGGAGAAAATAAACAAATGGGACTACATAAAAATAAAAACTTCTGTATAGCAAAAGAAACCATCAACAAAATGAAAAGAGAGCCCACTGTATGAGAATATATTTGGTAATGATACATCTGATAAAAGGTTAATATCCAATATATATAAGGAACCTACACAATTTAACAAAAGGAAGACAAATCCAATAAAAAAATGGGCAAACCTAAATAGACACTTCTTCAAAGTGAACATACAGATGGCCAAGAGACATATGAAAAAATGCTCAAAGTGACTAATCATCTGAGAGATGCAAATTAAAATGACGTATCACCTCACACCTGTCAGAATGGCTATCATCAACAAATCCACAAATGGCAAGTGCTGGTGAGGATGTGGAGAAAAGGGAACCCTAGTACACTGCTGGTGGGATTGCAGACTGGTGCGGCAATTATGGAAAACAGTATGGAATTTCTTCAGAAAAATTAAAAATGAAACTGCCATATGACCCAGCGATTCCACTTCTAGGAATATATCTTAAGAAACCTGAAACACCAATCAGAAAGGATATATACACCCTTATGTTCATAGTGGGGCAATTTATAATAGCTAGGATCTGGAAACAGCCCGAGTGCCTATTAGCAGATAGGTGAGTTGATAAAAAAAGCTGTGGTACATTTATACCATGGGGTACTATGTGGCTGTAAAAAGAAGGAACTCTTACCATTTTGCAACAGCATGGATGGACCTGGAGAGTATTATGCTAAGCGAAATAAGCCAGTCAGAGAAAGATAAGTATCACATGATCTCACTCATATGTGGAATCTAATGAACAAAATAAACTGATGAACAAAATAGATTCAGAGACATAGAAGCATGGAACAGACTGACGAATTTAAGAGGGAAGGCGGGGTGGGGATGAGATGGGAGATTAACCAGGGAATTTATATGCATAAATGCTTAACCCATGGACACAGACAATGTGTGGTGAAGGCCTGGGAGAGGTGGGTGCGGGGTTGAGGGAGCCAATGGAAAAAAAAACCAAAGGGGACATCATATACTTTCAATAATATAGACGCATTAAAAAAAAACAGTACTGGAAATGTCAAGATTTACAACAATATACTTTTATGAATTTAATTAAGAATATGTTATAATATAATAATTTTCTTAATTTTTCATTCAACACATATTTACTGAGTAATTACTTAATCTGCATTAGGCACCGATGTAGAAAAAAATCCTACCCTTATGGAATTTAAATTGCCACATTCAAATAATTATATTACTAAAATATGGAAAATAGAGAAAAAGTTCACTAATTACAAACCACCTCAACATTACCACTATGATCATTTTGAATATTTTTTCCAATCTCTTCCCCATGACTATATTTATTTTATGTAACTTCTTGAAATACATACAATTTCATTTAAAACATACCAGAGAAAAAAAGTGTTCACTTTTTGAAAAATATCATTTTTCTACTTATCATTTAGTGGAATTTTTTATGGTATTATAATTTGCATGTTTTTAAAAACAGACAGTGTCAAGAAAAAGCATGTTGAGAGTGCTTCCTAAGGATTGTATATAATTTTAAGCTTTTGTGTAGAACGGCTAGTAATTTCTTAAAATTCAATTATAGTCAATTGCTTTTTTCTTATCCAATTATTGAATATAGTCTGAGGTTCAGCAGACAAATCAAACTACAATGCCCAAGAAAAGGAAATCCTGATTGACTAAGTGATTAACCAGTGATGGAATTATTAGATTATATTAATTATATATTACAGTATATTTATCACATCTTCTAGTGGAGGCATCATTATTGTTATATTATTGGAGAACATGAGATAACTACTTTGGTGATTTTATTTTTTTGTACACATTTTCAAAATGTCTAAACTTCGGATTTTCTAGGCTCTGTAAAGATAGTTTATAACTAGTTTATAGTACATTATAAAAGGAAAATCAAATGAAACTAATCTGAACTTCTTCTAGGTTCAATAAATATATTAAAGACACAAACAAAATGCAAACATGTTACCTGTTTTCCCATTGTTATGAATGAATGTGTTTTCCAAAGATGTTTTATCCCAACCCTGAAATTTAAGTTTCTTAAGATTCACATTTACTTGTGCAATATCTTCATCAATATTGATAGGAGATTGTTTGGGGCTATTACATGTTGGATATTTCTTTCCCCAATTTTTTTGATTCAGTGCTCCTAGGAAAAGAAAAGGGTAAGAAGTTAATTTCATAAATTACTATGCAAAAGCTAAATTTTATGTTATAAAGTAATGAATCCATTACATTAAAATATATATAATAGGAAGAAAATTGAGACATCTTTGAACCAATTCATTAAACAAGCATGCCTAGATTTAGATTCTGGGTTTTAATGTAATACACTATGAAAACAGGCCTCTAGAACAACCACATCAAGTACAGAGATCAACAGCCTTTCTTTAGCCATCACACTCTTCAAATAACAGAAAGTCTGATTGTCATGTAAGGCAGTGAGTCCTAGCCCATGTTTGAGCAAGGCCAAAGTTTTCCATGATTGATGTTGAAGGAAATTATAAGTAAACAACCTCCACCCCCCTGTACCTGTAGTCTATGCAATCTACTTCTTGTAATAAAACAGCGATTTTCAAATAGCGTACTGCAAGAATTTTTAAACATGCAATACCTGACTCTTTAGTGAAGAGCAATGACCTCTTTTCCCTAGATTGTCAAATAAAAATATGACCACAGTCAACACAACAGTAGCCATCTGGTATGAATGCCCTGTTTTGAACCATAAATAAATAGGTCATATAATCTTGTTGGTCACACCACATAATAAGGTAAATTGTTTTTTAACATATATATATATTTTGGAGAGAAAGGGAGAGGGAGAGAGAGACAGAAACATCAATGATGAGAGAGAATCATTGATCAGCTGCCTCCTGCATGTCCCCTACTGGAGATTGAGCCCACAAACTGGGCATGTGCCCTGACTGGGAATGAACCATGACCTACTGGTTCATAGGTCGACGCTCAACCACTGAGCCACACCAGCTGGGTATGATTCATTAATTCTTGGTACCAGAAATCCTTTATACAATTATAGGCACCTGAATTTTAAAAAAGTCACTTTGGAGAAAAAAGGGTAAGTAATTACTATTATTATTTTTTTAAATCAATCAAAATTATACCTACTATTTTGTCAGATCAGCAAAAAATATTTGTTTGGGTGTGCCCAAAAAATTTTGTGACACACTAAAATCGCTGTAATAAAGAACTCAGTGAGGATGGACTTCCATGCAAGCTCTCATAATGTGACAAAACTAGCTTTGCATAATACATTTTATGTATAACCGTACATTAAGTTATATTCCCCATCAAATATAAGCATATACATCTAAATATTAATATTACATAATACATTTATATGCATAATCATATATACCCATAATTTAGCTTAGGAAAAAAATAATAATCAGTCACACCATGAAACTATACCTATATAGCCAGGGGTGATTAGGTAATTCATCCCTTAGTGAGGCATTTACCAAAATCGACAGGTGCTAAAATTTTTTTTTGAAAAATCTAACTCTACTCCTAGAGAGCACTGGAGTATCAGATGCTTTAAATATGCCCAGTGATGCACATGTCAGCTTCCAGGAACAGCTCTATTAATGAGTAATACTATGCTTATTTCACTGTAAAGAAATTGGCATGAGGACAAAAAAACACAGATCATTTTACTATGTCAGTGCAAGAGAAGCAGAGAAAATGCAGCACAAATCAATAAGACCCTTTGTTTGCTTAAATTTTTAATATAGTGAAATAAATCCAAGAACCCTAGGACGAATCTTATAGTTGTGGTTCACAGAAACATACAAATTTAAGTCTCTGGTACCAGCGCATATGATTTATAAACCTGCTATTTCCCATAGCATTTCGTGATCATCTCTCTTTGGCTTCCTATTTGGTTTATCCAAACTGAACAACTGAAACCGGCTCCAACTGTTATCTTTGTGGTCCCTTAAACTTAGAAGTCAGCCTGATGCCTCTTTCCTTCTCAGCAACCCCCTTGGGTCTACCTTCAAATCATATCCCTAACCAGACCATTTCTCATCTCCACTGTTACCAACCTAGCCCAGCCCAGCCCACTGTCATCATTAGTCTATGCCTTTATCTTCCACAAGCAGCATTGCCATCACTAGGAGATTGTTAGGAGAGGCAGTTCGTAGCATTACTAGGTCAGAAGCTAATTTTAACACAAACCCCAGGAGATTCATACACATATTAAATTTTGAGAAGCAATGGGTAGACATCTCCAGTGCCTTCTATCTGATCTCCAGCTTCTTCTCCTATCCCTCCCACAATTCTGTTCCCCAATTACATAGTTGTCAGGATTATAAAATGGCCCCCGAAATTCCCACACCCTATATGTCTAGGTACTAAGAGTGGCCTCAGGCAGGTAGCCAGCCAAAACAAACAAGCCAGTACCAATAAGGCAAATACTGCATGATTCCACTTATTTGCAGCACATACAGTTGTCACACTCACACAGATAGGAAGCAGAATGGTGATTAGCCTGAAGTGGAGGAGAGATAAAGGGAAATTATTTCATGGGTATAGAGTTTCAAATCTGCAAGATAAAAGTGTTTTTTAAAGATGTTTCACAATAATGTAAGTAACCTTAACACTAATGAACTGTGTACACTTAACAAATGGTTAAGAGGGTAACTTTTATATTATGAAATTCTTACCACAGTAGGAAAATGATTAGGATGGCAACAACAAACAAACAAAAACTGGGGACCTGGATCTCAATCCTGCAATGACAAAGAAGTGAATTCAGCCAACAACTTGCATGAGCTAGAAACAGGACTCTGCCCTGCAAAGGGCATCTTGTTTTTAGATTTATGAGCAGAGAATTCAGCTAAATGGTTCCTCCTCTTTGACTCTAGATCAGTGGCTCTCAACCTTCCTAATGCCGCAGCCCTTTAATACAGTTCCTCATGTTGTGGTGTCCCCCAACCATAAAATTATTTTCGTTGCTACTTCATAACTGTAATGTTGCTACTGTTATGAATCGTAATGTAAATATCTGATATGCAGGATGTATTTTCATTGTTCGCGACCCACAGGTTGAGAACCGCTGCTCTAGACCCATGGAAACTGTGAGATAACAAATACATGTTGTTTTAAGCCATTAAAGTTGTACTAATTTGTTGTGCCATGTAGGAAAACTAATGCAACAAGTAGGTAAAGTAATATTTTAAAATATGTATCAGATCGCGTGTCACTCCTTGGCTCAGGTCCCTCCAATAACTTCTCATTTCACTCAGAGAAAAATGTAAAGAAACATTACCATGGTTGACAAATGCTACATGATGTCACCACTTATATCCTCCCTAATCTCACTTCCCATTGCTCTGTGGTGCCGGCTCTACTCTAGCCACACTAGCTTTTCTGTTCCTGGAACGTGGGCAGCCTCAGGGCCCAGCACTTGCTGCCACCTCTTCCCGGAAGGCTTCCTGAAATGCTGTGCAAGGGTCTCTCTCTTACTCTCTTGCTTCAATGAGGTCCCTCCCAAATGCATCTTGTTAGAGGCTTTCTCTGGACATCCTGTATAAATTACACTTCCCTACCCTGGTCATTCCTAATTCCCTCTCTTTAATTAAGTCTGTTCTCCTAAGATATTAATTATGTTTATTTGTTCCTATTCCCTAGAACCTGGAAAAAAGAGCCCTGGCACATAGCATAGGTGTTCAATGAACATTTGTTGAATGACTGAATCAGACAATAAAAGATGATGATGTCTTTTGTTATATGAGTTTGAGCTCATAGGGATCTAACATTAAATGGCAACAGAAAAAAAGAAAAGAAAAGAAAACCATTTCAACCTCACCAGAAGGTCACATTTTACTGTTTGCCATATGATACTTTCGTTGGGTAGTCCCTACTAAACTTCTGCTGAAGGATGTCAAGAAAGGCATGACGTCCAACCTAAACGTTGTCTGACATTTTATAGCATAGTGATCCTGAGTGACAGGTTTGGTTTGAAGTGAATCAAATAGTTACACTGAGTGTGGACCTAGTTTAAAACATCTACTAGAGCAGCGGTTCTCAACCTGTGGGTCCCGACCCCTTTGGCGGTCGAATGACCTTTCACAGGGGTCACCTAAGACCATCCTGCATATCAGATATTTACATTACGATTCATAACAGTAGCAACATTACAGTTATGAAGTAGCAACGAAAATAATTTTATGGTTGGGTCACAACATGAGGAACTGTATTTAAAGGGCCAGAAGGTTGAGAACCACTGTACTAGAGCATGAGGTCAAATACAGGGTTAAGAAGCCTCCTTAATGTTTGTGACTAAAAGATAAAATAAAAGAGGCAAAGTAGGGAAAATAATATTTTATGAAAAGGTTGTAAAAGAAAAAGTTCCATCAAAATAAAAACATTTTTAAAAAGCTATAAAACAACAAAAGCCCACTGAGGTTCTTTTTGCAAACGACTCTAGAAATTAGGTTCTTTCAAATCGTCGTAAGTACAAAACCAAGGGAAGTAAAATAATAATGTGTTGTGCACAAAGATGAAACATTGATCAAAGAAGCATTAAATATATTTTACCTGTCTTTAATAATAAAATAGTAGATTAATCTTATGCTTAAACATTTTTAAAACTCCCAAATTAATATTTTTAATGTCACAATTTGAGAGCTCAGTCCATGTAGTGGTTAAAGCCATGATGATGTACCTGAGAAAGCAGGTGTACAGAATTCATTAGAATGATATCCACTGTGTTATTAGTGAATATGGCGAAGAAGAAATTAGGAGAGTCACTGTAGTTGCAACACAAAATTATCAGGCTGATTACCCACAAGGAGGACTGTAGAGTACTAAATGTCAGCTCTAGAAAATTAAAATAAATTATTCATTCACATAGTCATCCATTCTTTCATCCAATTATTGACTTACCTGGATTAGTACCACTCCCATAAATGTCCTGTGGTTATCTCTAGCAGAGCACGTAACAGACTGTATTTTGTTTGTTAACTTATCTATTTCATCTGTATCTTATTGCCAATCTCCCAGGAGGGAACATAGAAACAAATAAAATTCTCGAAAAATAGTCTTTGTGCACCTAACGAATGTATTCAGTATTTAAATACTGTTCACTTTCTATTCCAAGCAGAACTGAAAGCAATTCTAGGCTTT